CACGTGTTCTCGAAACGCCGGTACGGCAAGTGCAATAAGCGATATTTTATTTATTATCTGTGAAATTTTTGTTTTTAATTTGACAGTGAAAAACTTTTTCTTTTGTAATCCGTGGAGTTTTATTTATAGTCTATTTTTTTACATTGGCATCTGTCTTAGGATTTTCCTTCTAAGTGATTTAATTGTTAATTAGATTCAGAAGAATAATGTTTTGTGAAAATAATTTTAGTATAAATTACAGTAATAATATATTAACTTTAACACAGTACTATGAAAATTACGTTGATAGTACTACTCGATGTGAATTACGAAGATACGAATTAAATTACTTCTGATTTAAGGAACCCTCATCTATAGCTGTCATCATTATAAACAATTACATCATATTTCTAGGCTCGTCAATATTATCCTATGTATTATTGATAGGAGTTGTAAGTAAAGAGTTTCAGAATATAATTTTCATATACAATTCTCGGTTCTTATAGCTCTATCAATGGCTACAGGATTTTTTCATAAACGTTTTTGTTGATCCAAGAATTAGGGATTTTAAATAGTTATTGTATCTGGTGTTCTAGTTAGTTACTTGAAACTCTTGTTCAAAGTAAAGTTTCGTCACGTTTATGAAATTTTTTCAGCTATCTTTTAAATTATCTGCGATAATCGTAATTGCAATATGTTCTGGCATTTCCAGTCATATCTTGAGTAAACTTGGCGAAAGTAAATATTATATGATCACAGGTGCATGCTACAAAGTCGAAAATAATAACATTTTGTTCAATTCCATCCACGGTGGTAACACCGCTTGCGGGAAAGTGAATCCTTTCGTTTTTGCAAGAAGACTTAAGAATATAAGACTAAATTAAGTATTTCATAATTGACAGCTACTGAATTTTATTTAGAATACAGTAATAAACACTCTACTGTGACCCATGGACATCCACATTTATCCTGAATTTAGAATTCAGATGCGTTGTCACCCCTGAGGACTAAGATGGAATGCCTCGTTTCCAGTAAAAAGGGTGACCGGTTCTCTTCACTCACCACACGAAACACAGCATCACTAAGCTGCCATTTCACGCTGGTGTTCTGTGAGAATCAATTTCTTCAATGGTGGGGTTTTTACTCATTTATAAGACGGAAATTACCAATTTAAAATCGAATCGGTTAAAAATTGGAACTAACCCACGCCCAAAGATGTAGATGACATCTGTAACCTGTCAATTAACGGGAATCGATTATTGGTTCGACTTTTTTTGTTCCATTAATATGCAGGTTGCCTCGCGATGTTTTTCTTCACCACCATATTAGGGATAAATCAGAAGTTGCAATTTACTATTGATACTAGTCTGGTGGTAAAGTGGTGCCGACTGGGCTCAAACTCTGGTTTGCCTGCCTGCTCTGAAATTTCAAACAGAGAGGTGATTACAGAACTCTAAACAATTTTTACGTAAAAATATCAAAAATGATGTCGCTGAAAGTGCTAAGATTAGCCATTTTGTTTGTAATTTAATGAATAATATCATTTAAGTACATTTCGAAATTGTTTTTTTTTAAAACGTTACCCCCACTAGCATTTTCTCCTGTATCGTGGAGGCAGTTTATAAACATAGATTGCACGATGACAAACATCCAGACCTGGAACAATTATTTGTAGGCCATATAAATTTACTTGTTCCGTGCGGGATTCGAACCCGTAGCCCCAGCGCAACAACTCATTGCTAAGCCACTGCGCCACGGAGCCGTCCTACGCTACAGTACTTTGTTTATTTTTATCGTTTTACGTCCATATTTGATAGTAAGTTTAAATAAATGGAGATATATATATATATATATATATATATATATATATATATATATATATATATATTTAGCAGGTTTATTTGAATTGAAAACAATGTACCTTTTAAAGAACCGTTGTGGTAAACAAAGAAATGTCCACCCGTTTACAGTAGCTTTATCAGACCGAGTTTATAAATAGCCCCATTGTGAGGGCTAATATAAAAACCAGACAGGCGCGGTATCCTTTTACAAAAGTTTCGTTTAAGCTGTGTACAATCATTTTTATCTTGTTTGTTCTACCTGACACGGATTTGTTTTCCCCGTGGAAATTTTCTAAAGAATGAACTCGAAAAACGATAGTAATAATTTGTTTATTTCGAAAAGATTTCGTTTAGTTTATCGTATAATTCATCAACATCCATTGCCTAATTTATGCATCCCCCGGGGACTGCTATAAATTACGATCGTGGACCTCTTGCATCTATCTTAACTTCCCGCATATCACAATAGTTCCTCCATTTAATGGGCGTGTTTTATTTGTGATTATTTTAATTATTGAAAGGCTTCAACATTACACAGAAATTTCTGCTTTACTTTGAAGGTTTACTTTCACTTTGTTAAAATGTACTTATTAAAGATTAGTGCCAATTTCTACGTAATATTTTAATGCATCGTCATTATGGTAACGATTATAGAAAGTTTCGTCTAAATCATTCGATCTTTCTTATTGTTGAAGTAAGATTAATCGATTCGAGTTGGACTTAGCCCCAGGTGCATTTATATTAAATACGGTTTAAAATATTATCAACGTCATTGTATTAGTGAGAACACTTGCGCGTCTAAAGTTAGTGATTTATTGATTTTATATGCGCAAGAAAGTTATTTCTGTGACAATGCTTCGTTTAAAACACGTCAGAATTCTCACTAGTAGTTGCTAGTTAATTAAAAGTAATCTTTTAACACAGCGTTTGCATCGCATAAAATTATTTGTTTTATTTCCGGCTCGTCTCCTTGAATTTAATAAAAATGATGAGAAGTATTTGTTTTGCGACATTTATCTCCTGAATATTTTAAAATTTAGCAAGTGCCTCTTTCTGTGTCACCTTTTTATAACTAAATTGTAAGCTGGCTGGAGTTTATACTTGTTTCAACTCTCAGTCTTAAATCAATAGTACAACAATCATCAATATCCGTACATCAACAATCATCATATCATCATGTAACATGGGATACAGGTACATTACATTATCACGTGAAATTAGATGAGACACGGTACGATATGAGGTAGTGGATATTCTTACACCGCCACTTCATGGTTTCTCTTGAAGTTATGTTTCTAATTTACTTTAATTATATATTTGATACCCTAAAAATATAATTGCGTTTGTTAACTCCTAAATTCGTAAAAAGAAAGCAAAATATGAGAATTAAAATGTATCTATACTTAAGCGAAAAACATGTACCTAGAATATATATTGATATTACACTAGCGCAGAGTTTTATGGTTATCCAACCATGGCAAGTTTTAACACAAGCACAAACAAGTGCACCCGAGTAAAGGGCACTGACTGTCGAAACGAAGCGCGACTAAAATTATCCTCAATGAGGTACCGAGGCAAGGTCGAAGCGGCGTCAATGTCGAATGCGCCAAGTTAAAGTTTTCCTGCGTGTAAACCAACGAGGAATTTTGTACACATTGCTGGTTATTTGAATTAGAGTCCGAAAATATTGACCAAATATTAAAATCCGTATGATTCGCTTGCTAAAATCCTCATAAAACAAAGATTAGTTTATCTTTGAACACATTATGAATTTGGTTAAATAATCTTAAAAAAGTGCATTTTCGATCTTCACTTGTCTACAAAGCCAATGGCAGTTACAATTGTAGCAGTCTTATGTATTTCATTTATTTATTTAATCTACATTAAACCTTACAAACATTACGGGATTAAAAGGCGGACTTAATGCTAAAATCTTTTTGTGCCAGTTAACCTTGTGTTCATTACAGTCTTGCACAGCTCCTAAGAATTTAAATGATTTTGACAAATTACAAATAGTCCCTTTATCTAGTTTATAAGAGAAACAGAATGCAAATTTTATAGTTATTATAGAAATATCGTAGTAATCGATTGTTGTTACTTGTTTTGCTAACATTAACATTTTAATGAATTCATGTAGACTATGTTACTCCTTATAACATCAGCTATCTGTCAGTGAAAGTTCCGTCGAAATCGGTTCAACCGTTTAGGAGATTAGCCGGAACACACAGACAGACAATAATTTTAAAAATTGTGTTTTTGTTATAAGTATCGTATATACTTTCATATGCATTTAATAAAAAATGCGACGATATTTTGACATTACAAACAGACACTTCAATTTTATTTATTTGTAATAGATTTAGCTTCCATTGAAATCTAGTTTTGATCGGAAAACTTTTCCTTCGCATTTATGATTATGTTCCTATACAAATAAATGTAGAAAGAAAGCTGTTAAACCTAGGAAGGGAACGCCTTTTCTCCTATCTAGTTTCTCCAATCGTCTTAATGTACTGTATGAATTACACCTTCAATGTGCAGTTTCGCCTCCAGTTTGTTCTTATCTCGTTTTTTCTTATCAGTCATCGCGCGTTTGATAGCATTGTAAACACTCAGTTGGAATGCATAAAGCTTGTCGATTGCGTTCTTAGATTGATATAATCTAGATTCTTTTTTATTAGTATCCAATATTTATTACATTTTGTAACTGTTTCCTACTCTCACGTACCTACTGTCTTAGCAATTCATATAATTTTTTTGTATAAAATTTAAGTGACACGCGTACTAAAAGTCCACCGGTTTGCAAGTAGCTATTGCAGCCCATGGTCGCCAGCCACCATCTTTAAACAATGAAGGCTAGACGCGTTGCCACCAATGAGGTCGGAGATAGATTGGCTCACAGCTTGTATTGATGCTGGATCTGTATATTCTTTAAACTGGAACGCAGCAGTGAAAACCCTGCTGCTTGTCGACAAAAATAGATTAGAGTGTTGTTTGTACATAGACAGACGGTTTATGATGCTCCAAAATATCAACTACTTATATCAATGTCTTAAAGTGGATTACTTCACGTATTTCAATATGTACGTGTAGTATTTATTTAGAGGACAGAATAGGTTTTTCTTTTTTTAAATCAATAATCATAAACTTTAGCTAAATTCTTCTTGTATTTTCTTCTATCAGAACCAACAGCCGCTCCTAGACGTGGTCCGGGAGCGGGCTCGCGAGCTGTGCAGCGGCGCTGACGCTGCTAGCGGGGAGAGAGTTGAGCAGAAGACCAGGGAACTCGCCGATCGTTGGAACGTAGCCTGCGAAGGTTAATTTATTTATTATTCATTTATCTACCGACTTCAAAAAGGAGACTCAATTCGACTGTATGTTTTTTTATGTGTGTTACCTTATACCCTTTTTTTATGGGAAAACCGATTTCGATGATTCTTTTTTTTATTTGAAAGCTGGTGCTTGTCATGTAGTTCCATATAAATTTGACTAAGGTCTGACCAATAGTTTTTGAGTTATTCTTAATAATTTATAATGAAGTCGGTTGTACAAAGATTTTAATATTAATTTTTTTTTAAACTCAGATCCATATATGTTAGTGTAGTTACAATTTTCCTTACACGCTATGTTAGTAAAACCTGAAAACTGTACAAAACTAAAAATAAAAACGTGTAGTCCAATAAACCTTGTTGGTTAGAATCCACTCTTGTTCATTTAAGTCCCGTCTTATAGTATTTTTCATATCTTATTTAGTATTTTATGCTGTAATAATTTGTTTCGCAAAAATACTATCGATCAAATCGTAAATACTTTTCATAATTGTGTAAATTGTTACCTCAAATACGGAATCTCTTCGAACAGGCTTAGCTAAACGCGCTACCACAGCGGACAGCCAACTCCAACGCTGGACCCAACTTCTAGACACACAGAGGAGCTTAGCATCTGCAATAACAGCCGCATCAGACCGCCTGCGACAGTTGGATGCAAATCCGAGCACCAGGCGTCGTGCGCTCGATACAAGACATGCTTTGCAGGTTAGTCATAAAGGACGTTCCAGTAGATTTCATCAACTCAAACTATTTGTATTACCGTGTAGTGGCGGTGTAAGAATATCCACTGCCTTGTATCATCCCGTGGTTGTCGTAAGAGGCGACAAAGGGAAACAAATCAGGAGATGGACAACAGCGTCTTGCATGCCAAGTGTGAAAATTATGGCAAATATATATGAAGCAGTCTATGGGGGTGGCCTATGTTCAGCAGTGGACTTTAATAGTCTGTAACCGTAAAGGTATTTGTATTAAAGATTTATAGATTCTAGGCGATACGTATGCAATTGAGACTTAGGTGATCTTGTTGTTCAACCAGAGCGTATATTGTTATTAAAACCGATGAAATCATAGTTATCGCACATATTATAAAATATGCGAGTTCTCTCCAACTATCCATTATTTCCAAATTACTGAACAGTTACGAAGTCACAGTTGGAACTCGAACTACGGTTAAAAGCCGATATCCGATCAATAAGTCGACTTCAGTGGGGCAATAAATAACTGTCGAACGGAACCTTTAAAGGAAAGTGCGCGTAACAGGTTATTTTGTGCTTAATTTACAAAGCATTAACTTATATAAAGTTAACAACGAAGTGTGCCAAGAACAGGGCTTCCAATTGAATTAATATTTCTAACTCTTAAGTAAATGATTTTGATTTGGTTGGTCTTTGTAAACCGATTAAAAACTGAGAAAACCGACAACGTAACGATTTCAGGTCCTGTTTTTAAATTAATTTACTCACTTTCATCGAAAGTTTTATATTAAGTGAGACACGTAATTTTTTTAGGTGAGAAAGCACCCCTAACACTTCGAATACACTTTTCCTTCGATCTTTATTTACAAACACTATTTATTTTTATTTGTGAATATACGTGCTAATACTACGGCAATATAATATATCCACATGGAAAGTAAATTCTGAATAATGATCGATAAATAAAAATGGAAACAATAGACAGGAAATGGTTCTCTTTGTACAGGAGCTGCAGACAGACGTATCAGGACTGGAAGAGAGCAGGGACGATCTGCTCGAGCACGCCGACTTCGTGGTGAACATCCTCAGACAACACTCCAAGGAAGCCGCAGAAGAGACCGAGAAGTCTGTCAAGGAGACTGTGGAGGCTTATGAGAAGTAAGTCTGTGTTACCTAGGAATATCTGAACTAATGTCGTAGCTCGATTTTACCTTTAGAAACAGCTACCTAACAAAAAAAAACATATAAAAGTAGCAATGCTTTCTTCATATAAATTTTGATGTTTTCTTCTTTTGTATCTCTACTACATTTATTTTTCTCATTTTTATATTTGTTTGGTATATATCAATGGCGTCCAAAGATTGACTTTCAAAATTTTGATTTCCTTGCTAATTCCCTTTTATTGTTGTATTTTGGTGTGATTCATGGTTTATTTGTTGGGAAATGCAAAATACTGGTACTTATACCGTTTTTTTTTAATTTATTGAATTAATAAGCCTTTATAATGAAGTTACTTTCGAAAACGGCCTCAACAGGCGAAAATGATCGCGTTTCGACTGTATTAAGAAGTATTGAAAATAATATGTAGATAATTGTCAGCGTTTCGCATTTCCCATAACATATATTATTTTTTTAATCGTATACTAGTAATATATATTGTCCACTACCCCATATCGTCTTGTGGGTGTCTAAAGAGGCAACAGAGGGACATGAAACAGGAGATGGGCATCAACAACATCTCATTGATAACAACGCAAAATAATAAAAAAGTGCGGTGGATTGGTACCCTCCTAAAGTGGCAACTATGGCAAAATCTCACCTATGGGACATTCTATGGGGGAGATCTATGTTCAGCAGTGGACTTTAGTAGGCTGTAATGGATGGACGGTTAGAAATTATCTGTATTATATTACCGCTAAAGCACTTGTGTTATTTTCCAAGGTAAGTACATTGATACAGTATAGGAATCCACGTTTGGGAGCGCACACCTCAAAACTCTTCACCGGAGAAAAGTAAGTGACAGCATAGACGTGACATTTCCAACGCAATGTTTTCGAATCAATAATCTTCGAAACGATATTGCGTGCTCAATGACTAACCAGCTATTGTCGGTAAATAGTAAATGGATAGTCGTCGAATAAAGGTTATGCTTCAACTTGAATACACAGGAATACTAAGTTATGTTTGCAGATAAACTCTAACTAAGTGTTATCTTTACGTACGCAAGAACACTTTATGATGAAATACTGAAGTGTTTAAAAAGGTCTCTACAAATTTAAGGCTTTTTTTAACGATATTAGCTTTATGTAGTTAGTTGTTAGTTCAGCAGTAGTATACATAGAAACAATAGTTGGGGACCCTAATGAGTCCCCTAAGTAAGTCCGAAACTGTTTGTCTAATTGAATACGTATTTACTGTTAAAGCCTTAAAATAATTCAGCGTTGCCCTCTTACTTCGGCTTTGGATTTGGCGTTTATAGTTTGTTATAGTCTAAGATCGTTAGCCAGATCTTTTAGGTTTGTCAGATTACCAAATGTCTAGCTTACTTCTATACCTTCAATAATATCAATTGCATTAGTCAAATCTACAAGACTTTCTAATCTTCATCCTGTAACTTGGAGGAAGGCAAATCTTAAACAGATTGCGTTAACATTTAAAAAAATATAAATTGCCAAAAAAGAAATATCTTGTATAGTGTTTAGCTCTGCTTGTAGCAAATTATACGACAAAATAAAGCGAACTTTCTGCTCTAGTTAGAAACATCAAATAACGGGTCGCGATAACGAGACAAATTTTTGTTACGGAATTACCGGGAATCTAAAGACGATACCAGTATTTTAAAAACATGAGGAACAGTAAATTAGTTTTCAATTATCCATCTTAACAGATTTGTTACGATACAAAAAATGTTATTATTGTAGAGGAACAGAAAAAAATGATATACCTGTCCAAAATATTTCCCAGTTATACTTTGATTTACGTTTTAAAATATTTTTTTCGACTCGGGAAGCGTGAAACTTAATTTTTTGGCAATTCATCAACTATGCAGCATCGGTCTACCGCTGTGCTTTGTTACATAATACGTCTTTGAATAAAGTTAACTGTACGGCTTAACTGTCCCGTAGTAATAAGGTTCACTTTCCTTGCATCTTTGCTTTCCGTTCTTTCAAATCTAAATATGCCACTATCGTGTGGCGTCAAACGTTCTGAGGGATCGTTCTTTTCTCTTCATGTTGGCACAAAAACGTGTTTTGGTACGCAGCAGTCGGTGATACGATATTGTTGGTACAACTAGACTTTTTATATATTATTTAGACGCGGATACATATTGACAGGTTGAAAATTTGTTGACGTAAAATGACACAGAAGTATTTAAAATTATATCACAATTATAACGGGGTTCTGAATATTTATTATTATTTGCCAACTCTGAGGGAACTGCAGAGTTGGCAACGGACGCCCTAGATGAAAGTTTATCGGCCAAATTCGCGATATATTGAAGATGGGTTAGATCAAGACTACCCTTAACGTAAAGGTATATGTATGTAAAGGAGGCGAGAAGGGTTTGTTGCTCTGTTTACCCCCTCTGGGTGACAGCCGAGAGTGTTCATGATGATTATGAATCTAAAGTGCGTATATATTTAGAAAGTTCACGCTTGTTTCTGATGTCATTTGAATTCTGATTTTTTCTTTTCATTCGACTAGGGCAAAAATATTTTGTTTATAGGTTTGTATATACGTAACTGTATGCTCTTTGCTACCTTATATTCGATTTAATCTAATGCGTTATTACACCAAAACAAATGCTAAGTAATGTTACCCTATGTATGGTGAGTGACAATAACCGAAGATCCTTTTTACTGATAATGAGCACGAAACATCCGCATTTTAATACTTACTAGGGACTAGATGTCGCTCTCTATGGGCCACAGCATTCACTTATCATCAGCTGAAATGTGTAATCGCTTGTCACCCTTCATCATCATCATCATCACTCCCACTGCTGAACATAGGCCTCCGCCAAGGAATACCACAAAGTACGGTCCTGAGCGACCCGCATCCATCGACTTCCTGCATGTCTTACCAGGTCGTCACTCCATCTCGTGGGGGGTCGCCCTACACTTCGCCTACCGGTACGAGGCTGCCACTCAAGAACCTTCCTTCCCCATCGGTTGTCGGTTCTCCGAGCTACACCCTTACTTACTTCTATAAAAAAAAACCTACTCCGTTGTTTAGTTTTATTTACCATTTGGTTGAATAGTTGAACAAAAGAATACATCGTATCTCTTTAGTTTAGCGTGTAAAGCAACGGGATTTTAAAGTTCCACGCCACTGGACACGGCGATATTTACGCTAACAAGAATCTGTATACTTTTTCTTTTATAAATATAGTCACTGAATCATAGAAGACAAAACGTTATAGTCGTCCACATCTGTGTGACTGACCCATTTTGCTTGTTACGTACGCGTAGGCACATCATTGCTCACTTAAAGGAAGTAAAAAAATAAATAAGATTTTTAAATTTCGAATGCACAAACTGATTCTAAGAATATGATAGAATTGCTGGTGTTGCTTGCTATTCAAACATTGCAAGATTGATGCGTTCACAAACAGTTGTGAATGTAAATCTTTTATCTATTTGCGTTCTTCGAATCGTTCGATTTAAAAAAGATTTTTTTTTTAAATTTAACACACGACTAGCACAACTCCGGGCTTAAATAAAAAACACATTTACATTATTAATATGAAAAACCGTTCAGTGGCGGCGTAAATCAATTCACTACCCCATATGTTATTAAATAAATAAATAAAAAAAAAATCATCCCGTGGGTCTCTTCTACTGTCCCCAGAAGATTGTCTCCCGGCCTACGTTCAGCAATGGACTTTTTATAGGCAGTAATGTTAATGATGATAATGATTTGAAACCAATCATAATATTTTAGGTATATAATATAGTAAATATATCATATAATCAAAAGATAAAAAATTTATTTTGTTCGAAGACAATATGGTATTTTTTTATGAACATAAGTGACATATGTTATCTATTATCGATTGAGAATCAAAATGCAGATGCCAAAAAATTACAGTGATTGAAAGGACAAATAATGAAAGACGTAAACGCTGTATGTAAAACAGCATCAGAATGGCCAAACCTTTCTAATCACGAGTGTACAAGTTACCATTGAAGGGCCGGTCACCGGTCGGGTCCATTGCTGCACGCGGAATAATGAGCTAAGTCTGGCAAAACTTTACAGTATAGATAAAGATTTGATGGCATTCTATCTAGCTGACTTCCAAAGTACTTCTTGTATATGAGCAATTGATTTCAAAAGAAAATGTTTTCATGTTACCTGTATATTAAATAATTTTCTGTATAAAACGTTCCTCACAATAATAATAACTTAAAATTTCATATTAATGTTCCAATCAGCTGGGGAATAAGTAGAAGTAGGTATGGAGTAAAAATAAGTTAGAAGAAAATGTGACTTAGCCAATTGTTCTCTTTAACTCTACAAAAAGTATTTTCTCACATTTGAATTTCGAATCGGGATCAGTGCACAATTATCGACTTCCGAATTCGGTCCGACTTTTCTACATTTGTCTTTACTTTGATTCGAATAAGATTCGGATCGGTAGCGGTGCATAAAAGCTCTTAGGCTACTGTCGCTTTTACATTACAAAAGGACAATCTATAAAAAATTTGGCTAGCCAAAGCAATCCATGTATCTTCGAAATTACATGACGATGCCAAGTCTTAAGTTGCAACGTACTGCGCCGTATACACTGCAGTTCATACTTATACTACGCCACACTGCAGTATCCAGTCAATACGTCGTAAAGACGTCTCGTTTTGCGAGACATTAAAATTCTGCAGACACACACGTAAAGACTTTATGTCCTTGTTATAAGGCACTATATCAACTTAGTGGAGTCAATATTACTCATCTCACAAGCTACGAGTAAGTATACAGTGTTGAATCACCTATTTAGTTGTAAATTGAACCCTCAGAGCGCGCAATAAACGCTAATTTTGTTTAACTTGACGTTCATACGGTAGCAATTAAGTTTCCTGTTACATCAGTAGTCTGACACATATGGTGACGGTCAAGGGCGAGTGGTCATCGTTGTTGAATTGGTAATTATCGCGCGGTGCTGTGTTCTGTCGACGATGTTACCAAAAATATTTTGAGTTCATATTTTTATTTATTTACGCATTTAAAAACTAAAAGTATATTTAATGATTGCGTGTGCATAAATGCATTATAACAATCACACATAAGCCGAAAATATCATAGCGAGAAAAATAGTCGATTCCCGGTAGCGCCATTAAATTTTTAATTGCAGTTTTAAGTGCTGATTTACCACGTTCGAATGTTATGAAAACTTAAAGATGATAATATCATCATCCTAACAGCATCATCAGCAGGTCTCTTCCAACAAAGCACGATTCTGTTCCTACTGCATCCATCAACATCACTCCATCTAGTTCGGTTGGTTGTCGGTCCTTAAAACTATAATAATATATATATATATTTAAAAATAGCGAATTCAGGGATATCAGGTCCCTAAGTTTTAATATTCACATTAATTATTCTGCTCAAAACCTTTTTAAAACAGCAAACATTTTTAATTTTACTGACGTCATCATTGACAATATTTTAGTCATTATATCATCACACCTCGGTCTCATTATTTTGTAAGATAATTCTGTCCTGTCGATGATGTCATGGCGCTCAAGTTCGCGTGCTTAGAATCTTTACTATTATTTTCGTATCCCCTTGGTAATATGATTAAAATAGACAACCGTCAATGTTATTTTAAGATAGGTACGTCAATTCTTCTCAATATTTAAGAACGTAATACATTGCTTGTTTCGAATGATCTTTAAAAAACGCGTACAAAAAGTGAGGTTTTAAAAACATTGTTTACTGGCGTTTTCCAACACTTTATAGCATGAGTAATGCTGACCTTACATGGCCGGAATGACTTTAAAATTCGGATTGATCAGTATTTTCGTGTTTCTCGCCTTAGGGCGAATATTTTTGATTTGCAAATATGGAAGAAGAGTTGAAATTCATTGTACTACTTTTCGTCTTTTATATTAAAATGTCGTAAACGAATAGGCTGGATTCATCCCCTTGTGTGAACAGTATAATGAAGAGCTAATAAATACCACATTGCGGCGAGAAAATCACGACAGTGTTCTGACAGATTGCTTGATTAAATTTTAAACGTGGTAGAGCCATGCTGTAGCTATATTAATTGTATAATTGTTGCACGAACGGGTCAGCTCAACCGAGGAAGGACCAAGCTCTCACAGAATACCAGCGTAACATAGCGTAACGCTGCTGTGTTTCGGATGGTGAGTGTAGAGAAACGGAGAACCTTTTAACTGGAAAATAGGCATTCCGTCTTAGTCCCCACGGCTGACAACGCGTCTGCATTTTGATTCGCAAACGAGGATAGATGTAGATGTCTACGGGCCACAGCAACCACTTACCATCAGGTGGACTGTGTGCCGTTGTTACCCCTTGTCCTATAAAAAAAATACTACATGATATTAATAGCATCATTTGTCCCGAAACATTACTTGTTGAAATAGTTTATAATCTGATTCCAGTGTGGGCTCGCTTATATTTAAAAAAAGTAACGATGATGCTCGTTGCGCGTTGATAATTCAAATCTTATATCTTCCGGATTTCATAACACTCGTCAGTTTCGTTCTGACAGATCAATATGAAAATATTATAAAGTAAAAAAAAAAAATATTTGTGTATACGTATTATATCATAATACTGATAGCTTAAATAAATTGTATGCAATTCCGGGTTTTAAAAATAATAATATGGATTCTGATTATGAATTGAGAGAGGTATTCTAATGACAGTCTAAGCGTAACATTTATTTTAATTAGAAACATCTAAAATGATGAAATAATTAATAATTATAATATTATCATTATCAAAATTCGCCTGTAGAACATATTCTATATATGTCACTAATCTCAAATGAAGATACTAATTTCGTAATTATCTTCCAGAAAATCCTTGAACTACTTATGTCATGACAAAATCTACTAATTTTCTTTAAAACCAAAATATCAAAATGTTAACATAGAGGTAGTCGTAATTCAGAAATTTATATATATTGTATGTATATCTATATAAAATATTTGTGTAATTATGTTTATAATATATATCTTAGTATGTAGTATTAGTTATGGTAATATTATGTAGACAGATATCTTAAAATAGCTGTTTACAGTTTTCACCCGGAATATCTTCTCTGCTTAGCCTAGAGGTAGACTGGTAGAGAATTCCTTGCAGCATAAATAAATAAAATTAAACACATCATGTTTAGTTATATATTTTTTATAACTCGTTTCTATATTCAGACACATGTTTATATGTAATCAAAATTCTGTTTCCCGTGGTTACAGGTTACAGTTGTAAATAGAAGGGGGACATAATCGAAGGCTAATAAAAACTTGATTCATCCGGAGGTATAGCGAAGAGGGTTGCTTGTTATTGCATGTTGGGGTTGCTTTATTTAGCACAGCTAAAACGACTTGATTATTAACGTCGTCCCTCAATATAAATAAGTTTAAAGCAGGTAAAACAATTTATACTTAGAAGCGGATATATTGTTTAATAAAAACGCGATAAAATCCATAAAAATGTTTTGTTTCGTTTTAATATTAGTAATCGTATTTATTTTTTCGTGTAAACATCAACAACAAGTAGGTAATCATTACGGTTATATTATTTAGAATTTCAAGGTCGACAACAACACACAACTTAAAACTCATTAGGATATTTCATAATTTTGCCTCAATTGCGTTATTATTTAAAACATAGATCGCATTAGGGGCGTTAGTCATACAAATATTTTTTAAGATCGTCACATACACGCCCCAAGTCGCATGGCAAAGTAATACGCAATAAAATGTCTTTTCAACACATCATAGGGCCCACTTTCGATCGATCCGAATTCCAGACAGTACTAGAGATGTCCGTGCAATCGTTACCTATTCGAACCGTCGGAGCGAAGTATTCGAGCGCTCGGCGCATGCGCGCTGCGCAGTTAATGGGTCACGGCCCCGCAAAGTGAACCGGAGCCTACAGACATACTTAAAACTCCGGCAATATCCGACAAACGAAGTTCCTACAGAGAAGATTCCAGTCGCGAATGCAATGAGCATTAAGGTTGTAATCGTTTCGGCGACGAAGCAAACGGGTCAATGTGAAACAAACGTAGTCGGACCGGTCCCGAGATAAGTGCACAAAAATAAATTTTCGTCTATTCAAAGAGTTTGCGATGTGCGTGTTGCGGAATCGCGTGAAATAAATGTGACTGTGCACGCATAATCTTCGGTGAGTCATCAACCTTTTTAGATTAGAATTCGGTCGGTTGTGTCGGGAGTTTGGCATCGGCTCTATTAATGTTTACCTCGCCCACACGGCGCGGCGCCGGCCGGTAGACCGCCGTTCGCTCGGCGCATGTCCTTTCGTTGCGCAATACGCCATATCTTATCGTCGGAGGCAGTGTTAGAAATGTCACGTCAGCGCCGTGCGCTCGGATTGTAAACACGAGCTGCACTAAAAAAGAATCGCTCTGATGTCATCGTGCAAACATTATAGTGTGGATTTTAAAATTAGACGCGTGGGGCCGATCGCGGCGGTCTGTTCATTGAGCGACGAACGAGCGACGCGAGCGGAGCGCCGCGGGCCACCGGCTACCGACCACGAGGTGCGCTCGACCTTGCATCGTCACGCAGCTGCCGCGTCACGCGCCACGAATTATTTTCGTCGCCTTTTGGCAGCGTTCTCCCTGGCGTGCGCTCCCAGAAGCCGCAACTCCGCAACCCGAATCGAACGCGCGACTAACCAGTATTTTCCTTTTACAGATTGCGACAGACTCTAGCGGCGAGACTCGCGGAGATCGACGATATTGTGTCCGAATTCGACCGCGTTGCGGAGAACATTGAGAAACTTCGGCAACTGATCGAAGTTTTCATAGCGAAAGTCGGGACTTTCTACGTTTTCGGGGAAGACGACGCGGAAGGTGTGCGCCAACTCGCCGACGAAGTGTCCGAGTTAGTGGAGCGTACGAAGACCTTCACGGAGGAGAGCAGGAAGCGGTACGGCGGCTCCGCCCCGGCGGACGTGGCGCAGGAGCTGTCCGCTTTAGAATTATCGGCGGAAGCGTTAGCGGCGGCGATGGAGGAGAAGGAGAGGGAGTGGAAGCGCGCTCGCACAGCTCGCAGCGAATACGCGACTGATGTCGAAAGTGTGCAGGCGTGGGTCCGCGCGGCCGAGCTCACCGCCCGAGACCGCGCCTTACCGCCCGAACCTTACAAAGAACGCCTGGTCGCGACCAGGTCCGAGGTCCCGAGTGTAGCAGACCGGCTCGAGCGACTGACGCGCAACGCTCGCGCAATCGTCGAGGGCAGCCGTGACGCCGGAGAACGGCAGTTGGTTCAGTCCACGGTGACGGCGCTCTCGGATCAGTTCGCGGCCATCTGCAGCGAGCTCGAAGCCCGCCAGGCCGCCGTGGAGGACGCCTGCGACGCTGTGGCACGATTCCTCGCGTTGTTGGAGAAAGTCCTGCTTTGGGTTGAAACGCAACGTGCATTCCTCGCGAGGCCACTCCCATTGGCCGACTTGCAGGAGGCACAACAAAAACAGACTGAATATGGGGTAAACATTTTCGGGACTATATTTTATTAATATCTATAATTTTTTTATTTAATTATTATCTTAAATTTTCTAGAACGCGCTCAAGAGCTGTAAGCAGCAAGCGAAGAATCTCGCAGATATGGCTAAGGAAATAGAGGCTATTGAACGTGTAACTAGTCCAGGGGACTTGCCCTCGAGGCTCGAAGCGGCAGAGAATGCCACAGTTGATGTTGAAAAGAAATTGGCGAAGACAGTACGTAATTTTTTTTGTATATTACTCTTATATTAAGATGGAAATGACATTAATAACAATTTCTTTAATTTTTCAGAATGGCTTATTACAAGAATTGGCGGAAGAATGGGAAAGATGCGAAAAGAAATTGAAAGATGTCGGTCACTGGCTTGAAGCTACGACACGGACAATAGAGGCACCACAGAACGCAAAGAAACCACTCAGAGATAGGCTCGCTCTGAGAGAAAAATTGATTAACGATATATCAACACAGAAAACTAAGATCTCATATGCGGTTGAAAAACTTGATGTGAGTGTGACACAAGGTTTTACGTCACATTTATTGTTTAGTTGCATTTCTTGTTTGTCTTTTTGGGTGTTGGTGTCTATTACGATTTTGGTCACATTTTTTATTCAAAAGGGTATCGTAGGCATTGTTTCATGGTCATACATTTCTGGTGGCGGTGTTGAAAATGAAAACGCTTGGGTTGGCTTTAAATGGATATGTTTGAACAGGTACACTTCGGTCCCGACGGCGTGGCGTCACAATCCCGCTCGCCAGAAGGCGTACAGCGAGCGGCGCGCGAGCTCTGTAGTTCGCTGGACTCGCTCGGCGGACAGACCGCCGCGCAAGCTCGCCAGCTGACTGCCGCGCTTCAGCAGCTTGACGCTTACTGCGTGGAGCTCGCGCAACTCCGCTCGCAACTGCTTGATGCGGAGCAACAGTTGCGCCACGTCGCGCAACCCAACTACAGCCCCCGAGACCCAGAGCGGGCCCAGAGACAGCAACAGGTAAGCCATTATCTGCAGCCAGGACCTCAAGTCCTTCACCGTATTTCCTCACTCGCACCGACACTTGTAGGTGGCTAGCGAACGTTCTAGTTTTGTTTATTTGAATCTCTGAGGCTTCGAGCCTCCTCGGCTCGAACGGCGGCTAAGTGCCGCCCCTGTACATTACCACAAGCATTCATCTGTTTTCTTTCTGTTATTCTCCCCTCACCCCTCTACTAACTCGTCAACCGATATCCTCTGTCAGGAATGTCGAGAGAGAATCAAATCGCTACAAAGCAAAATTCAAGCACGGAACGAACGCATCAAATTGCTAATCCAGCGCGGTTGCCCGGACGCCGATCCGCTGAGGGACACGTAGGCGCGAATCTTCGAAACTAGCTTTAAGTCGATCCGTAGTCATCTATTCCTATTATAACTTTTTTTAATACGAAATATATTCGAAACATCGCAGCCACCGTCGTTTTCTTTCCCTCACACAACCCTCATCGCTCGCACTTAAGCGAACCCTTTGTAAATGATGTATGTCCGTACTTGCGTATCAGGAGGTTGGGCGGCGTATCGAAGAGCTCACTCGGTGTATCTACGAGGTGGACCCGTACTTCGCGAGCGGCGACGACGCGGGCGCACTGAGCCTGCTGCTGCAGTCGGGCGCGCGCGCCCGCGCCCTGCGCCGCCCGCGCTCGCCGCGCCGCCGCGCCGCGCCGCACCCCGCGCACCCCGCGCAGCCCCCCCTCGCGCCCCACACCACCTACGCCGAGATAGTCAAAGGCCTCCGCTCCCGCTCCAGCTCAGTGGCCTCCCGGCAATCGAGCGCGCAGAGAGTGCCCGCCCTCGACCGCCCAGAACCGGCCCCCGCTGAAGAGGAACGTTTGAGCGAAACTTATGTGCACATGCCGGATCATGATAGTGAAATGGCGAATCAGCCCAGTGATTTATACAGTGAACCAATTAACGAAAACGTTAGTGAGAGTGATACGTGCAAGCCTGACGTAGACATTCACTTTGAACCGACCTCTGAACTAATAGAATATTGTGATACGGAAGAACCTGTCGATGATCAGCAAAAACAAAAATTACAATCTTTGGAATGCCCAGCTTCAGCACAGAGCGATTCCATTCATGACGTCTTACGTCCGCCCGAATACCATGACAGATCTTTGAGTCCCGCAACGAGATTACGGTCTCAAGATTTATCATATGCAGAAATTCTAGCATTAGGCCTGCGAAAGCAGGCGAAAGCTCAAAATATTATCTCGTTGCCGAAACCACAGGTAGCAGAAGTCGAAATGGTGAAAGAAATAGTTGTAGAAGTCGAAAAGGCTCCGCCTGTTATTTATTGTGAACCGCGAGTTCAACCTACGGACTCTTCGCGAAACAAACCGGAAAGACCTGAAAGACCTTTCCAACGCAGTCGTTCGAGAGACATGCCACGACAAAGGCGTGCTCCCGAAAAGCGTTCCACTAAATCACATGACATGCAAATCATTAAAAAGAAGAAAACTTCAAGAAGAGTTATTGAAGTTGAGAACTTCGATGACTCTCCGGAAGCAATAGAGCCAACAACAAAATCAAGTGATACTCCCATATACAAAACTATCGAAAAGTTTGAAGAGCCTAAAATAGAAAAAAGTTGTAAAGAGATAACCAAAAAAGTTCACCACAGTGCTACAGTTGTAGAGACTGTTATTGAAACTGTTTCTGAAGAACTACCACAAGAGCCTTTAAAAACAGAATTAGAACAAAAGAAACCAAAAAAGAAAAACAAACATAAAAAGGTAAAAGAAATAGATGACGAAATAGAGAAGGCTTTAAAAGAGATTGAAGAATCGGACAGACATAAGAAAAGAAAAATAAAAGATTCCCGTGATAAAAGTAAAGAAACGATTAAAGTCGCGGAATCTGACGAAAATGAACAACACGCAGAAGTTACTAAAAGAAGCTTAGAAGCAATGGCAGATACTAAAGAAGTTACTAACAAACAGAAGAAAAAGAAAATACATAAAGACTCAACAACTTCTAAACATAAAGAAGAAAAGTCTGAGACCAATATCCATTTTATACAATCAACTGACGAAAAGCCTACTACTCAAAGCTCAAACTTAGGAGAGGAAATGTTACCGATTGTTGAATCTGATGATTCTGATAATTATAATTTAGCAGAACAAGGTGATAAATTCTTGTCCATAATAAAAAATAAAAAAAGGAACATTAATGAAAATGTAAGTGATGTTAAAAGCGCAAACGAAGCGATCGGAAATGTAGATAAAATAGCAGATAAGCTTTATCAAAACGAAATGGACATTCAAAGTGTCACTACGTCATTTACTAGAACAAAGGAAGAACATGACGATTTGAAAAATGAAGAATCGGATGCGGAAAAGGCGTCTAAACAGAAGAAGAAGAAAAAAGGCAAAAAACGAGGACAATCGCCAGAACATAGTGAATATAAGTTAATTACCACTGAAGTCGTAAAGTCAACTATTGAAGGAAACATGAAAATTATTGAACCAATAGATGAAAAAATTCCGAACGTAGTAAATAAAACTGAAGAAATTAAACCATATAAACTGGTACCGTTGGAATCTTCTGATTCTATCAAAGAGAAAGTACATTTAGGTAATACTCTTGATAGAAGTAAACCAAACGATGATGTGGAGTCCATCCTTCCTAAAAAGAAATTAAAGTCGAAAAAGCAAAAATCTACTGAAAGCAAAAATACATCACAAGAACAGACTCTTTCTGAAGCTTTAGGAACAGCTCATGTAATTTTAGAAGACAAAGATGTAGAAAATGTAGTAGAAGAGGAATTTACGGAAGTAAAAACAAACAAAAATAAATTAAGGAGTAAGAAACTGAAAGAATTGGAACAAGTTGCAAGTTGTGAGAAATTAAAAGAAAAATGTGTGAAACTTAATGATAAACAAAGAGAAGTCACTAAAGATGCAAATACTATTGCACAATCCATTCAACCTATCAATGAAAAAGATGCTTATTTAATGCACACGGAAATTTCAGAACAAGACCAATTAGTACAAAGTGACCTTGTCACCATGGATTGGAATACTTTAATGGCTGAAGAGGAAAATGTACTTGAATCCGAAGTCACACAAATAAAACAATCGACTGATGAAACTGACGCCTCTCAAACAAACACACAAGTAGCCACAGAAGTTACTATACTTCCAGAAATATCTAATATAATGGACGTGAAACCGAAAAGTGAGCAGCGATTGGAAAATGCACAAATGAAGGAAATAGTTCAAAATGAAATGAGCACTAGCAGTTCCCTCAACGAACAAAATAATAACGATAAGATCTTTTCGTCCGATTTATTGAAAAATAGCCCATTAAATATCGTACAAGAAATAACAAGGTATGAGCCAATTGTGCAAGATATAGAAACACGTACAATATATTTAATAACACACGAAGAAAAGAAATTACCACCTATAAGAACAGTTAAGGTTTTCAGTACAAAAAGCAATTCTTTAGAAATTGAAACGCAAGGAGAAAGTACTTCTGATACTATTCATACTTTAGTAGACAAGGATATAAAAATAATTGATAAAAATATTTCTCGTAGTACATCAGAAAATGTTGAAGACGTCATTGAAGGACAAATTTCAACTGATTGCATTGAAGAATTTTCACAGTATGCACAGGATCCAAATTTAAACACAGAAACAGAAAAACATTCTTTAAAACAAGTTGATAAAGTTGATCCTCCCCACGGGTTTGTTGTAAAACCGAAAAGCATAGATGATAAAATGATAATTGGACAAGAAAAGTTAGAAAACGTTAAAAACCTTTCTAATACTTGTCGCTCAATTCTTACAACTAATGAAGAAGGTGATAACTATTTGCATTTAGATGAAAAACACGATAACATCGTAGATCGGGTTTCAAATGAAATGGAAGAATTTTCAGAGAATATTCTTGAACAGGCTATATTTGGATCAGTGCAAGACCGCAAAAGGTCAACATTTGTTAAGACGAGTTCTATACCATATCAAGAACTAGTTGAAGAAATTAAAACGTATTCGTTGAACCTTGATATTGATCAACTAGATTTTGATTATCACAAATTGATGATTGATGAGGAAGGGGAAGATTCCCTTGATGTAGATAATAAAACCGATGTACTAAAGCAATGCTTAGATAAAGAAACTACGAATAATGATTTAGTTAAGAAAGATTCGATGGAAAGTTATTATGAAAAATCTGCTAAAGAAATAGCTGCAACGTCTTTGAATATGTCGGATGCACCTCATTTTAACTATTACGAAATGAACGAAGCTGAAAAATCTTTTGCTTCCCTCATGTCAACTGTAACCGACCTTAAATTTCAAGAAGAAGAAAATAAAAACATTGACCAAAATTTAAGCAACTCGTTGAAAACTTTTGCCGTAGTAGATGCCGTTCTTAAGAAAAATGATTGTCAAGATAACGCGGGTTCTATAATTAAAGAAAATAAACCATCGGACATCACACCTATCCTTTACTCAGAAATTAACAATGCGGACCATGCAGTCACTAACATGGAAAAGACACATAACAGTTTATTTGAGAAAACACAAGCTGAAGATTACAAGGCTGCAAATTTAATTGAATCTACTAAAAGTAAACAAATTAATGTGGTATTAGATGATTCTAAATTCAAAGAAACAAAAATGGCTGATAATGTTATACTTAACATACTTCATGATGATATTACATACTTTAATTATTCTGCAATAGCCGACTCGGAGAAATTATTGGCATCTAGTATTAATCGCCATGAAAAAACGATTTCCGAGGATGAAACATATAAAACCGTGATTCTGATACCAAGTGTGACCCCGAATGACTGTAACCTAGTATCTATTTCAAATGAATTTGATATACAAGAAGAAAAGCTGAAAGGGTCTGGAAATGCAAATTCCGATACCGAAGTATTAACTACCACACCAAATATTCAAAATGAGTCAGAATTAAAAGCTGTTATATTATCTGAACAAAATGATATTTATAAACCAAAACAAACGTTTACATTACTATTGGAAAACTTGCGTCAAGAACAGCCCCGTTACAGTCATTATGACATTTTAGATGCAGAAAAGATCTATCCTTCACTTATAAATGTGTGTGATTTAAATCGAAATATCGCAGCACCCGATAATATTAACGCTGCTGTAGATACTGATACACAAATCAAAGACAACACCTTTGTTTTGCATCAAAAAAGTGTAGATGCGCGCAAAGAAAATATAGAAAATGTTAATTATCTCGAATCATCGTGCGACTTTTTATTGGGGACAAGTGTAAGTGATATGCTATATTTTGAAATCCCTAAATATGATTACTACGAAAGAAAGAAATCTGAGGCACTTCTTGCCTCCGTTGATCAGCACACAAATGATAAAAATAAAGTACTTTCGGAAGAGCCGGAAACAATAACAGACTCAGATAGTCATAAAAAAGTTATAAAAATGTCATCTGAAGATGACAGTATCCAACAAAGTAGCGAAAATACTGCATTCAACAATATACCAGTCCAAAATTACCATGAAATTTGTGATGCAGAAAACTTATATGCATCTAATTTAATCAAGTTTGAGGATCAATATCTGACATCTGTTATAGATAAAAATATTACGTCAAGTGGTAAAGATGTAATAAGCTTAACTACCCGAAACAATGACAAACAATTACTTGATATTCCTGTTAAGACAAATACTTCTAATATAAAGCTTAATCCTACTTTGGAAATTAATGCCGAAAATTGTGCGCCGAGCAATACAGAAGAAATCGAAATGGAGTTCAAAGAAATTTCTCAAATCAACGAGTTTTCAAAAGAATCAATGCATGAAATGACGTTGGTTCAACCACAAAAAACATATATTGACTTTTGCAAACCACCTAGTTATAATTATATAGAAATACGAGAAGCTGAATGTATTCTTGCTCGAATGGTTGCTTTGAAAGCTAATAAGCAACAAATCGATTTTACAGAAAGTACCCATGATCAATCCGCCGTAAACGATGAACTAAAACTAAATCCAGAAGAAGATATTGAACTCGACGTCATTAATAAAAGAATGATTGAACCTGAAGATCTGGTTCTGCAAGAATTTAGTGATTCACTTGTGCCTGTGGTATTCGGTGACGTATCAGAAATATCTAAAATGATCGTGGATAAAGAAACAGTTTTAATAAAGTCGCAAAAGAAAGATCTCGACGATACTCATAAAAATACTACTACTGTGGCATTAATAGAAGATACTGTAGAAGATTTTGTCATTATAGAAAACTTGCAAAATATTAACACGATTGACCATGAAACTGATAGTGCTCAGAAATTTGATAAAGATCAAAACACTCCGGAGGCACTTGATTTCGAGCACTCATTTGAAGTAATTGAAATTGAGAAAGATATTTCTTGTGAAATGAAATGTTTGGATGGGCAATCCATTTTAACTGGAAAAAGTGAAATTTCGTCTATAACAGACGAAAATGACGCTTCCTCTTCAAATAAAACTGTACAAGAAGATTCGCGCAAAGAGGACGTGCAAGAAAGGGCTGAATCACCAAAACCTGAAAACACATCGCAAAGTATCGTCTCTAAAATCACCGAAACCGACATTTCTTCTTCCGTGTGTATGACTCAGCATATAGATACGCATGGACAGTCTAGTAACGTTACAAGTACGGGCCCATACGTAGATACATCAACAGATGTATCGAGTGATTTAGTATCAGATCAATCTGTTCTAACCGAAACTGTAACCAATAATAATACCCGACCCGAAAAATCTCCAATTCATAGCTTACACGATCTCCTTCCGGAAATTGATTCTATACCTGAATTTAAACCATCCTTTTCAAACACAATTCTATTTTCAAAATTGTCCGCCGACGCTCCTGAATTTACACCTTCATATATGTATCAAACTGGTGACAACCAGTTCATATCGGACCGTGAATCTGAATGTAAACAGATTAATACTCCAATACCATCGCTAAGCAACACACAACAACTTTTACAAACAGATGCGCCTCAAGCAGGTTTTACTGCAGTACCTGTTACATACTCTTCAGTTCTTTTATCCCAAAAAGAGAAAGTGGAATCAGCTGACATTAGTAAGGAACACCTTAGTAAGATATCAGAAAGCGTAAAAACTGATGATTCTAATATTGGAGAAAATGTCGATAATAAATCGAAACGCAACAAAAAGAAAAAAAAGAAAGAAGATAAAAAAGAAGATACTGTTGTTAAATCACTTGATGATGTTGACAATGTTCCTACGTCTGATGATCATACACATTTATCTGATAAAATAAATATTTGGAGTAAAGCAAAAGACGATGGTAAATCGTACGCTGCAGTCTTAGCTGAAGGTCTTGAGGAGCGGAGAGAATGTTTGCAAAACGAACAGAATATAAACCAATTATATGTTAAGGATCAAGGTGAATTCGTTTTAGATAAACCTGAGAGTCTTGAAAAAGATATTGAATTTATTACTATTGAATCTCCAACAGAAATCGAAAACTATGAAATTTGTGGTTCGTGGGCAAAAGTCGTTGCATCAAATCGGCCTTCACCTGAAAGAACACAGAAAGATATCATACATTCTCATGAAAACAAGGTAATGACAAAACAATCAAAAGCACCTGTAATTCTGGTAGATGAATCTGATTCTGACCACCATAAGCCTGAGGTGGAAATTGATGCTGAAGGGTTTATAACAGTTGACCGAAGTAGACGATCACGATCTAGATCCAGAGATGACCGTTTAACTAATGTTTCGAAAACTTATAAGAAAAATGATGCACGTGAACAATCTGAAAATAGATTTAATGCTCTTACATGCACTTTGAAGCCCGACGATTGTGAGCCTGTGCAAAGCAGTCATTCGGATGAAGAAAAAGAACTAACAAAGAAGGAAAGAAAGAGTCGATCATCAAAATCTAGAGAAAAAGAAGTTAAAGTAAAATTAGTTGAATCAGCCGCAGGTACAACCGATGATTATAAACAAACAGTAAAAAAAGATAAAAGGAAAAGATCTTCGAAGTCTAAAGAAAAGATAAATAAGGAAGTAGAAACATTTGAAATGACTGAGGCATTAAAACAAATAGTAGAAGCGGAATCAATTGATGTTAAAAAAGAAGTTCAACAAATTATCCAACCGCTGCAAGAAGAAGCAGTAGAAAGTAAAAAGAAAGCGAAAAAGAAGAAGAAAGAGAAAAAACTAATCAAAGAAACCAATGACGCTCCATCTCCTATAGAAATTAGTTCTTCTGAACAAGAATCTTCGGAACAAAAACATTATACTGTAACATCAAAATGCATCGAAACTCCTATATCGACTCCAGAATCTTTGCAAACTCCTGTAAAAGATAGATTTTACTCTGAAGTCCAGTATTGGAAAGTTGACCCTAATACATTAGATGACTCCTCAACCTTATCCGAGATTCTTACCGTTGAAGTGGAGAATAATACTAAACTGGGACATCCAAATTTAGTAACTGAAGGGCAATTAAAAGAAAACAATGAAGTTAACAAAGGTATCAATATAGAAATATTGGACAAAGGCTTTACTGATATGCCAACTGAAGTTAGTTATTTAACAACGGAAACTTCTAAAGAAAATATTACCGATGAACAATCGTTGGAAAATAAAATGGCTGACTTACAAAGAGAGATAGAAGAAATGTTGCTTCCTGAAAATGATGCATCTGTAACAAGTGAGGGAACACCAAAAGAACTTGCAGAGACGCAAATATCATTGGACGAACAACATGATGAAATATTTGAAAATATTACTCCATCTTTTGCCTCCCCCGAACCAGAAGAAATTTATCCTCAAAATCAAGTTTTAGAATTTACCTCGACTCTAACCGACCACGAAATATCAACAAAAGTTATGCCTGTTGCAAATCATAGTAGCTTAAGCGATGTAACAGTCACGGTTGCAGCGGATAATGAGAAACCCGCTGACAAACATGTAGAAGGTGTAAATTCCTTTACTACTAACATTTCACCGACAACTACTACTAACAATATAACGGATTTGAAATTAGATAATTTCTGGGTCAGTAAATCTATTGCTGACGACGCGGAAAGGACATTTGTTAGACAAACCCTTCTTAATTTAAATTCTTATGTACCTTCTGAGGAAATGCTTCAGTTAAAACCTGATACAAATTCGGATCAACTTTTGTCAGATGACAATAAAATGTTGAATAACCTTATAACAGACACGTTTTGGCCTGAGAAACATTTGTATCACGATGCAGAATGTGAATATTTTTCACAAATTGCGCAAAAAACTAAATTTAAATTTATTTCCAACGCTGATATTGAAGTCAATGACAAAAGAGACAAGGACAAAGATCCTGGTGGTGGATCCGGTCACTCTTCTGACGTTGATGAACCTCGAGAGTCTAGTGGTTCACCGTTCGATTCTAATTATATATCTATGGACTTACCAGGTGGCATTTGTAGCTGGAAAGATCATAGTTCTTATTTGAGCTTAGAAACGCCAACTGATTCTTTGACTGGTATAGTAAGCGAGGGTACGCCTCTATTAGGTACCGACATCCCAGAGGATAAACTAACAAACCTATCCCTAGAACCAGATGCTTCCTTCCCACCCGTACAGGAGCCGACACCGGGAGAAGATGAAAACCGGATGACAGCCAAGGTGAACGAGCTACAGTCGTATTGTACTTTTTTTAGATATTTATTTTATGTTTGGCATGATTTTATAACAAAATTTTTTATCACTCTCATTACGAATTTTTTTGTCGTATTTCGTCGTCTGCAGAACTCGCCGCTCGTCTTGTAGTGCCAACTTATGGCATACATCATATTCGCATATCATTTTACACGGAACTCATTTAAATTAGTTAGTTTAGAAAAAAAAAACTGTGTGAAATTATTTACAGTCTAGTCATGTCTAGTCATTCAGTACTAACAAAATTATTTTGCGACACAAGTTTATTATTGTAATAAAGTAAATATATGTACGTTGAATACGTGTTTTATTTTAATTTTTTCAAACTTATATAAATAACGCCCTCCCCTTTTTTATTATAAAAAGTACTTAAAAGTTTTGGCCACTACGAGACGATCGACGGGAAGTTTGCTTTAAATGGATTTGTTTATAGATATTTAAATATCGGCTTTAAAGCAATACGTGGAAGGATTATGATACCTTAGAACAAAGTAGCGAAACATTTTCTACCAGGTTAGTCAGCCGATAAATTATAGCTTGAAACCCTGATTTGAAAATGTTTAGATTTTATCCTGATTGCAAGAATTGTGTTAAATAGACGAAGTTTTAGCTGTTGTTTTTATTTTTTATGTACAATTTAATCATAAATATACCTTAACTTATTTTGCCTGATTTAATAGTATTTTTTTAAGTAGAAAGAACTTTAAATTTGCACTTAATTATCGCTTGACAAAGTGTACTACACGTCCACAAGCTTTTGAGCACGCTCAACTAACGCCAGAAATAGTAACAGATTTATTTAAGACAGTATTTTGTTAATTTTAGAATTTGAGAGTCACTTTTTCTGATTATAAGTTTGTGTCAAAAATATGGCTCTGGTTCCTTAGGATAATATATTTGAATCATTATTTACGAAAATAGTTGCAATATCTACGAGTAATTATTCTAAATTAACTAAAACCCTTTTCGGTCAAATATAAATAGAATCTATGGTAAACTTACGTCTTTAATATACCATGTTTGACCCTGAAAATAATACACTGAACATCATTCTCATATTGTTGGCTTTAAGTGTTGTGAAAGCCTTTCGTGTGAATTAACTACACAGATATTTTAATAAGCATGTCAGCAGACATTGACAGTTGGTAACTCCTTAATAAGGTTGCGTTGTTGTTTATTGTACTGCTAACATATTCCGGAATGGCATACGGCTCAAAGTTAGATCACGTTTATACTTTCATTCAAAAGTATACAAGCCTGCAACTCCTAAATACATAGAAAGCAAACTTAACCAACTTTGAGCTGAATCTATTTCGGTTTTTAGTCCCCTGCATCCGGAATGTTCTTATGGACTTTGTTCCCTTTCTAGACCATTCTGTGGCGTGGAATTTGAAGTGTTTATTGAGAAGTGATCGTAAACTTTAAACAAACGTCATCCAAAAATCTTTATCATATTAATATCTCCATTACTATTTTTTGAGTCTTTAAATTCCACGCCAGAAGACATAATAGCATAGTTTCACTAATAAATCTGCGTGCTTCTAGGATGACTTGTCTAATAGTCTTGAAATACTCCTGGAGGAAGTCAAAATTGTACAAGCTCAGTTGTCGGATCTTCCCAACGAAACACTGGACGCTATGGAAGCGGGACTTAAGGTACGTTTTCTCCATTACATTCCTGTACATTTTACATTTGTATGTTATTTATGTGTGTGTGTGTGTTTTATATTAATTTTAATGGATGTAAGTAACTTGTGCTCGAAAAAACAATAATAATCACAACTGACAGTGAAACTTTTAAATTCACTTGTACTATATTTGTCATTAAAAACATTTGTTTTTTAATATGAAATAATTTCAAGCATGTGGAAAATCATTAGTCGACGCAGTATCCTTAGTTATTAGCCTCAGCGTAAACAAAACTAGAATTTTTCACTAATACCTCTTCATATAACGTCGACAAACTTCATTCTTTGCGGCGTCAATAGGCTATCGTCGTTTAATAGTCACGTTTACTTTTCTAAATGTAAGTGTGCAAGGTACAGTTCCACAGAAAAAGAAGTGCTAATGGAGGCACTTTCTCATCCCTATCCAATCATACTCTTACGCAATCTGTTCAGTAGACAACGTGTACGATGCCGTGTTACAGTCACACGGTCAATTATAACACGTCTAAGTTCGAAAGCTCTGATTTATGTTTATGCACAAATGTTGGCTCTGGCTGCAATTCCATCTCAGAATTCAAGTATTCTGACCACTTATACACCCGGCTGATGACGTAAATCATTTTCGGCCTTGAAATACAATTATTTTATTATATATGCATTGAGTGCGTGTTATCTTTGTAAGTGTAATAAATGAATAGTTATTTGTATGCATTGCCATATATAAATGCATTATATTTGTGGTTATAATTACGCTTTCTTCTGTAACCAATAGTTGCAACATATATGCGCGTTGCAATCATAGGTTCTATTTCGCTCATTTCCCGAGACAACGTTTTTAGGATTCCGTACCCAAAGGGACCCTATTACTAAGCCTCCGCTGTCCGTACGTCCGTCTGTCCGTTCGTCTGTCTGTCAGAAGGCTGTATCTCATGATGCGTAGTAGATACACAGTTGAAATTTTCACAGAATGTGTATTTCTGTTGCCGCTACAACAACAAATAAAAATTAAAAGGGGGCTCCTCTACTAGAAACGTGTATTACGATGGTGCGGAACCCTTCATGCGCGATCGCGACTCACATTTGGCCAGTTATTTATTTAATTCTATTTTTTTTTCTGTGACATGCCTGTGCCAACGAATAAGTTCTCAAGCATGCTAAGTAACTCCATCTAAGATGTATTTTGCCAGGTGACATGATTTCAGATGACCTTGCGTTCTCTCTTGCAATAGTTAAGCGGCTGAAAGCATCCTGACTCATGCATCACTATCTGTCTACATTGTCTGTTAGCATAGCCCATGATGAATTTTACTAGTACATGATGTCACCATGCACTCAGATGTTACATCACGTGTTAATAATAAAACACGCTTGTTTGGCATCAACTAGACGTTAGTATATACACTAGCACTTTGCGAAACCGACTGCCAGTCGGCGGTCTCACAATCGAACGAAACCGAATCGGAGAACGAACTAGTTTTAGTGTTACGTCCGAATTCTGAAAGAAATTGTAAACAAGTGAAGTGACTTCTTCAACTGTTTCATTAAATTTAATTGTTACTGCTTGAAAAAGGTAACTGGTAGGTAGGTAGGTAGTGGTGTTTAAAGAATTTTTTGGTTCATCGCATATATTGAATTCTATAATGAGCATGTTATTCTCAAATGTGTACGTCTTGTTTGATAAGTTTATCTATACGTCGTTGACGACGCAAAAGAACGAACCTCAATTTTTCATAACATTACAGGAGAGCAAGAAAACATTTATTATTCCTCGATTACTAGATTTTTTTCATCAGAAAATTAAATATATTAGACTTAATGGAAAACTGCAAATAAGATTAATTTTCTGATAAAAAAAAAAGCTAGTAATCGGGGAATAATAAATGCTTTCTTGCTCTCTTGTTTTTTTATTTTTGAGTAAATTGAGGTTCGCCCCTTTGCGGCGTTAACGACGTATTGTTAACCGTATAAGTTTTTTTTATAAAATGACAATTTAGGGTTCGAAACTTGTTTTTGCGTGTATTTACATTTTAGTGATAACTTAAGCAATATTTTATTTCAAATCTTTTTACAGCTAAGTATAAATGATGATGAAGATATTCTATATGTACAGTTTTACTGTTATTGGATTACATGCAAATACAACGTAAAAGGATTTATTTATTTAATCCATTAGGTTTTTTCTGTTATATAAAGTGAAATTAAAAGAAACTTGTGTAGACATCGCTTCCATATCCTATTTTATATTTGCAATTGAAAGACACTATGTAATTAAATTAAAGTTAGAATGCAACTGAATTCCTGTTAAAAAAGTAAAAGCAAAGTTACAGCCCATATACGTCCCACTGCTGGGCAACAAGCCTCCTCTCTTTTCTAAGTGGGTTTTTAGGGCAAGGAAATGTCCGCCGCGCTGTCCCAATGCGTGTTGGCGAACTTCGCATCTCTTCGAAAAAACCTTTTTTTACTTATTTCCTAGACATGCAGGTTTCTTCACGATGTTTTCATTCACCGCCGAGCACGTGGTAAATCAGCACTTAAAATTGCAATCAACAATTTCATTGGCGCCGGCGGGGATCGAACCCGGGTTGCTAATGTACTGTGAAATTTACAGTAAGCGCTTAGAATCTGAGCTACCACGGCTCTTTTCCCGTTACCTCCATAAAATAGGAGGAAAAGTGTATATCACAGTAGAAATGTTATAAACAAGGAACCGCTTCTTAGATCAGATCTAGTGTTAAGCTTCCTATTTTTCTAAAGAAGAAGAAATCTGTATTTATTTTGTTATAATCAACTTAGCATAATCATTTCTCTCTAACTTAGAGAAAGTTGGACACTATATTCTGTATTGTTGCCAATGTTTTGATAGTGGCCTCAGCAGACATGATCATCAAATGTGATGCAGATCATCAAAACCATCAATTTTTAATTTCCCACGCATTCAGTAGGGGTAACTAGTGTAAAGCTTCAATGAGCCTAATATTATTGTATATTTCTTCATCATCATCAGTCCGTAGAAGTCCAATGCTGGACATAGTCGGTCGCCTGCATGGTTGTTTCGAGTCTGACGGGACGGTTACACCACCATCAATGGGAAACCATAACATTTTTCTGTCGTTTCCCATAGCCACCTCTTACCATGGATTCCCTTACGCCGTTTGTGTTAAACATGTTTAATTATGTTTGAAATCACCTATCTCGTAAATCAATTGACTAATGTAGATCATAACAATAAGGTAACCCAATTAGTCATGGCCGTATATTACTGCTCCATTAATATTACGTTCATTATTATTTGGTTTCTAAATTTAAACTACATAGAGTGGTTACGTGAGCAGCCGTAGTGGTTTTGTGATCTAATGTCCACCTTTTCGTATATGAACTCATAACACAACAGTTCGAGCGACCAGTCTTAATCCTTGGTGCCAGCATCACCGGTTATTTTAATGCGGGAATATAATGTACGCGGAAGTTAATGATTTTCAAATGTCATTCATTGGTGATACAGACAGAAACTTGAAGTGTCTATCTGTATCATCAAAATAACGTTTTATTATTATTGAATGAATTGACAATATATTTTATAACACAAAGAAACAAAATAAATGTAATATTTCAAATGTATGTTTGTTTGTTCGTAAAACTTTGTCAATATATTGCTTACACTTGCGCGAAGGTTATAGGCATAGTACAATTACACTAGGTGGCGCACGTATCGTACCGACAAATTTATTTGAAAGTTATATATCATTCAACTTCAATGAATGTATTATCACTCCTAATTAAACAATATATATGTACGTGGTAGAGCCATGCTGCAGCTATATTAATAGTATAGTTATAGCACGAATGGGTCGACTCGACCGGGGAAAGACCACGCTCTTACAGAATACCAGCGTAAAATAGCAGCTTAATGCTACTGTGTTTTGTATGGTGAGTGTAGAGAACCAGAGACCCTTTTTACTGGAAAAGAGGCATTCTATTTTAGTCCTCACGGCTGACAACGCATCCGCATTTTAATTCGCAAAAGAAGATAGATCTAGATTTCTATGGGCCACTGCAACCACTTACCATTAGGTGGACTGTGTGCTCGTTTGTCACCCTTATTCTATAAAAAAAAAATAACTTTCCAAAGGACAATGGCAGACTTTCATACATAAAATTAGTTGAGAAGAAATGGTAGCGTCTATATATCCAAAATATCCTTAAATATTAAACGTCAGTCCCTTAATAACTCTGTCAAAGAATTTTGTCCTGAGAAGGCGTCAAAAAAAAGATATTTAGATTTGAACCTTTTTAGGTTATGTCCTATGTCACTTGGAAAAAGTCAAGCTTCCTGTGGTTGTTTCATGTTAGCTTAATACGTAATACATAATTGAGAGTTTTTAGATTATTGTATCTCTATTATATATTTGCATGCTATAAATGTATATTTCTGGCATGGCTCCAGGGCCTTTGTATTATAGTGACATCCTTAAAAGGGCTAGAACCCAGAGCCGTAAAGCCAGTAAAAAAAACTGACATTTTGTTTTAGCTAGTGTTGGCATAACATTAATTAGAATTGTTACATAGTACTATGATTGAGATAATGTATTATTGTAGGAAATTATTTGTAAGAGACTTATTCTCAGCCATATAACTTTTATTTTTATTATTACTGATAGTACAGTTATTACTAATAATAGCTTAATATGCAAATGTTTTGTGTGTTGTGTTGGTAGTCTTACAAAGTGTATACGAAAATAGTATGAATATACTAAATGGCAACACTTGAATAGAGTAAAATGATTTAAGTCATTTGATATTCCAAAAAATGTTTTTTTCTGTGGCTTTAATTAAAATACATTTTTATTTGAAAAATCATAGAAAAATAATAAAACTCTTTTTATATATATAACTTATTTCTAGACGCGATAATTTTTGTCAACTATTTTTCTGCCATTGCTCTTTAAAACAATATTTCCACAATTATTTCTTCTGCGACAGCAATGCGCCGGGTATTATCTAATATATTATCTATATTATTACTAGCTGACCAGGCAGACGTTGTTCTGCCCTCTTCGACGACCCCGTATCCTGTAATTTTTTTTTAAATTCGTAATAAAAAATATTGAGGGTCACTTAAAAGGATAAAAACTATCTCTCTGGACCGAACTGCACAGAGTGTGCAAAATTTTATTGCAATCAGTTTAGTAATTTGGGAGTTCATCGCGGACAAACAATGTGACACGTAATTTTTATATATAAAGATTATAAATGTATATATATATCGTCTAACATATGTGAGCTACAGCTCAAATATGTTAGATACGAGATAATAAATATATTTGCCAGATGTATTAAATGTGAAAGTTATGTTGAATACTTGAAACTTGGGCTATGCGATTGATTGCCCTTGAGGTCAACTATTCATGGATTGATTATGTTAAATTTGGATGTTATGCATTAGGTACGCATAAAATAATTAAAAAATATCTACAAATAATTCCAGGAGGGAATAGCAGTTCTTGTAAAGTGCGAGGAAGCAGCGATTCTCTTAGAACAGAAGATAATGGAGTTCAATCAAGAAGTAGAAGTTCAAGCATTACTGAAAGAGCTTATTGTAATGAAGGCAAGGATATCAAAATTGCTTATTCAAGCAAGACAAGGCCTTCATACCATCAAGGTAAGAAAGGTAATTATATTTATTTTTCTCTCATTATATATTAAGAGTTCTTCGTAATATTAAAGACTACTTTCTACTTCCAGGACGCTAGAATCGAAATAGAAAATCAATCTAAACAAATTGAAGAACAAAAAGAACAAATAGGCAAACTCGACAGTTGGCTTGATGCAATAAATACCGAACTTAAGGAATCTGCTAAAGATACAGATATTCTCACTGAAGAAGATATAATAAGATTTATTGAAATTTATGAACGATATCTGAAAGAATACGAAAAATATGAAATTATTCTTCGATCAATAACTGTGATAAGTCATGATGAATCTAGTCAATCAATGCAAATCAAAATAAATGCTTTAAGAAAAGCATTAGAAGAATCAAAACATCTAGTCATTTCTGAAATAGAAAGATTGAGACAAATATTACTCAATATGAAATTTACCCCCGAAGTAGTTGAGGAAGAAATTTCTCAAACGGATAGAACAATTGACTCTACATCAATGCCAGAAGAAGTTGCTTCTTCGGAGGAAATTAAACCAATCGGACTAGTTCCAACTCAAACATCCATTGGAACTTCAATAGTTCCTGATAGGCCTACCAGCCTAGAAACTGAAGACCGAATTTTCGTTGATACTAAAGTAGAAGTAAAAATGACTCCAAATATTGAGGAAGTAAAAAATACTGGTGTAAAAGAATCACAGACAGGAAAAAGCTTGATATCAGATCCACCATCCATGCATGATAAATCTATAATCTGTCAACCGCAAATAATAGCAACTCATGATGTTTCTTTAACGTGCGCACCACCACAAGATGTCGAAGTACAAACGAGCGAACCAAAATCTCATGAAGAAGAGTTCTTAGAGAATATTCAAGTTACGCAAAATATTTCTGATGGGCATGAAACTATTGTTATCTCTAGTAAACCGGTGGTCAGAGATCAACATGTCGATGACCATTCACTTCTTGTTGATGCTGATTATAGAGATGATTACCTAAGTAAGAACTCTCAGCTGAATATAACACACAGCTTGCCACAAGCGTTTGAAACTGTAATGGTAGAACCTGATGAAACTACAACCGAGGTAATTGTAGATGCAGACGGCACTAAGAGAATCATTGTGAAGAAAATAAGAAAAACGTTAGTTACAAGACAACAAACTGTACAAATGAAACCACATGATTCTCAAATAATGTCTGGTGAAGAAGGGGCCTTGCAAGAACGATCGTTCCAACAAATAATATTAAAAGAAGATAAAGGATCTTCTTCCACTACCTTAGGTGACGGTAGAATCCAAAACGTTCAATATCAAACATATGGAGGTCAAGTTATAACAGGTCTTCCAGGAAGAGAAATGACGATACAAGAAATTACCTCCAAACCAGAAATGGTCATCAGTATGGAAAAGGGAATGAGTCCAGATCAAATTCTTCAAGTAGCGGAAGGAGAAGTACAACCACAGGTTCAAACTTCATCATCTAGTGTAACAGCAGTCGTAGAACAAGTTACTAAAAGAATTATCAAAACAAGACGACGAATCATTCGTCGTGTAGTTATTATTGACGGTAAAGAACACGTAAGCGAAGAGATTGTTGAGGAACCCGATACTGTCGAAGTTCTTGAAGAACAAATACCTAAAGTGTCTATTAATGTAAAGGAAACCAATATGCCTATTGAAAAAGATGATTCATCTGATCACAATAATCAATCACCACAGTTAACCCATGATTCAAATGAAAAAGAAAAACCTTTAAAAGATAAAACACAAGATGGTAAATGTACAGATAAATCAGATTTGCCTGAAGAGGTTATGACAACTACAAGCCGAGATCTACATAGCTTAACAAAACAAAACGACCCTGAACACAGCGATACCAATCAAGAATACATTCAAAGTCAACTGGGAGCATTAGAAAGAGAAACTGTACCGATTTCAACGTTTCTTACACCTGAAAATATTTGTTTAGAACCACAGCAGTGCGTGTTTGAACAGGTAGATTCCCAAAGTAAGCTATCTGCAATGCCAACAGGAGAACAATTCACACAGTCAGAAGCAATGTCATCTCATTTTGCTTCGGTCACTCAAACAGTTACAAGAAAAATCACAAGAACAAGAAAACGTATAATAAAACATATCGAAATAATTGATGGTAAAGAAAATATTACAGAAGAAATAATCGAAGAACCAGATGATGTTGAAATTATCGAAGAAGAACCTAAAATAACGCATCAATGTCTTGATCAGGGTATCAAAATTAAAAAATTCAAAATTATTAGACAGGTTCAAATGATTGACGGCAAAGAACATGTAACTGAACAAATTATTGAGGAAAGCGATGATACGGATAATTCTGAACCACAGATTATAACAAAATCTTATATTGAGGTATGTGATAAAGATAAACCAACCGAACTAGAACAAGATGAAATAATAATGATGAAAAATGAACCTGAAGATCTTATTGACACGACGAATCGCCTAATTAGTAGTGAAACCGATCACACCATAGCCACGAAAACCTCACCAGTTAAGTTACTTGAACATAGTGTAAAATCAGAAATGCAAAATAATGAATTATTGAAATATACGAAGGACGTAAAAGACAAAAAAGATGAAAATATACCGGAAATAAATATACCAGTTAAGTCTACTTCACACAAAATCGAAAATATAAGCAAAGTAAAAGAAATAGACCAAAAATTAGTGACAGTTCAGTTAGGTAATACAATAGAAGTGCCTCAATCACTTTATTTAACTTTAGCAGAAACAGAAAAAACAGGCAGCAATGACGATCCTACTGCAGATACTACTCAAAAATTATCCAACACTAATGAAAAAGAAAAAGCATTAGATTTGGATTATAAATCGTTTATAAAGACTGATAAAATTTCGTCACTACCTTCTACGTTGCATCAACACGAAATTCAACCTGGAGATCCAACTGAGGAATCTTCAACAAATCTGTCTGACGATATTGAAAAAGCTAAACCTGAAACACTAAGTACAGTTGCATTCCTTCAAATTAATAATACAGACGTTATTACAAGTAAACCCACAACCAAAATAATTAAGACTAGAACTCGTGTCATAAAACATATTCAAATAATCGATGGTAAAGAACATGTTAAAGAAGAAATTGTAGAGGAGCCTGAAGAAGTTGAATTATTCGTAAACGATCCTAAAACCTACGTTGTTCAAGAAGAAGGAGTTAAAACAAAACGTTTAAGAATAATAAGAAATATCCAAATAATTGATGGCAAAGAACATGTGACTGAAAAAGTATTGGAAGACCCTGACTGTGAATATATGCCTGATTCTACAGTTACAGCGAATATTGATCTTCATGTCAGTCAATCAACGAAATCACATTTAGATTCAAATATTAATAACAAAAATGAACAAGACCAACAACAGAGAATGTTAGAAGAAACAATATTGACCACAGATCAACAGAAAGACATTTCTTCAATCGACATTTCTAAAAGTTTTATTGACCGTGAAATAGATCACGCTGATATAGTACGAAAGCCGTCATTATCTAATAATGAACAAACAGAGAGAGATAAGGTATTAGTAGCTAAATCGCCGACAGATTTAAATAAAGAAATTACAAGCCAACCCAAAGTGAATCCCGAAAATACGAAAGATATTCCCTCTTTTACTATTGATAAAACAACTTATCCAGAAGTCTCGAGACTTAAAGAAGAGCAGCAAACAGATGAAATTCAATATACCTCTCCTATAATAACTTCCCCTGTGTATACTTCACCGAAAACTGTTATAATGGGCGTCGAAGATAATTCACCTAAAGATGATAAAACTGTAGTGCTAGACGAACCAAAAGAATCAACATCTGCACTTGCTGCAACTTCTAAACATGAAAAATTATCTACCCAAAACAAAAATGCAAGTAAAGACGAATCTCAAAAGGCTACCTTAATGGATATTACAAAAGCTTTACTTTCTAGTGAAATTGATCACACTGCAATGGTTAATAGATTTAAGAGCGAAGGGGAAGAAAGTAAGATAAAGTCTGAAAAAGATTTCATTTTAGAAACCTCTCAAAATAAAACAGAAACAACAAGTGATCTTACGGAAACGGTTATTCCTGGTTATCATATAATTGAAGCAAAACATGAAGCAGGAAGTGAAGAGGAGACTGTTACAAATAAAACCATATTGATTCACTCCGAAATAGGTGACTTAGATTTAATGAATATTCCCAAAGACCATAATCCTAGCCCTAATGTGGAATCCTCACAAATAAAATCTAAACACGATATGACATTGGAAAAAAGTAAATTAGATCACGTAATAATAAAAGAAGATAACACAAGTGTAAAACAACCTTTCGAGCACGTAACAACAATTCCAAAAGAAAAAGAATTAACACAGATGAATACTCTGGAAAGTGAAACCTATAGTGATCTTGGTCAGATTAAAAGTGAAGTAACATTAAAAGAAGCACAAAGAGCAGATCTACAAACTTCAAATGCTAAAGGTCGAAAAGAAATTGATTTGACTTTTAGTAAAAGCGGACCTAACACTGTTAATGAATCAATTAAGAATCCAGATAATATTGTTATAACGCATGATCAAGACGTGAAGTCAAGTCTAATAAAAATTGTCAAACAAGCAGACTCCATTGATGATCAAGAAATTATTACAGGACATATTAAAAGAAAAGAAGACAATGACTGTCTTCCTGAATCTACTGTGACTACTCAAATAGATGTTTCGACAAGCAAACCTGATACAATAGCCGAAGATAAACTTATGAAAGGTACCAGTAAAGGATTCAATGCTAAAGCAGATAAGTCAGTTCTTGACATCACAAAAGAATTGATTGACAAAGAAACGGGCCATACGTCGCAGTTTTCAACTTCACAAAAGAAAGGCTTACAGAAGACTACATTAGAAGAAACAAAAAAAGATATGAAAGACGATGACAAAATTTACAGTGAAAAAATAGACCCTAATACCAGATCGTCACAACCAGGTAGTGCTACTTTATCAGATGTAAATAATCCATTAAGTAAAATTTCCAAAACCATTAAGTCTTCAAGTACTCCTGACAGTACACATATAGACCAGCCTAGTCAGGAGTACTTGCCTGTCACTGATAGTGTAGTAATTGACCGCAAATTTGATTCAATTACAAAAACAGAATCAGAAGAACCTTTAAAACAAAATACCAACAAAGAACAACCAACTAGTCACATAATTGTAGATAAAGCAATAACGCAATCTTCGGTTGGCGTTCAACCGCTTTATGCAGAATCGATCGTGCCTGAATCACATTCAGCTGCTCAGCCAACAACATCAGATCTATCTTATATTGAGCAATTTGATCCTCAAACTCTATTATACGATGACACAAATATTTTAAAACAAACATTAGTTCCAAATGAAACTATTTCAAAATCAGATCAAACGCCTATATCCAATGCCAAACACAAAGTTATTGCGTTTATTGAACAAGAACGTAATGATACGCACTTAAGCAACTTAAGTGCGTTTGAGAAAAGGCAAGGAACACAAACAACTGATTCTAAAGCAATGCTTCCCAAAACAATTGATATTAACATGTCAATTGAAAAGACTGATACAAGAAGTAAAATTGTACCAAACATACAGCTAAATCTAAAAGTCGAGGACTATGAATCTCAAAATCCTTTTGTAGCAAAAAAAGATGTTGACATCAGTCTTCCAGCAGAAATAAAAATTACGAATGAACCTAGGAATGAATGCTCTGCTAATGAAAACCTTACTACGGACGCCTTAACAGTGCAATCAATTTGTGCGGACATATTACCTGAAGAAAAAGAAAAGGTTCGCAAGAAATCTAAAAAGAACAAAAAACAAAAACGTTCTTCAGAGTGTAGTGACTCCTTTGAAACTGACGTACATACAGATACGGACAAAACAATTATTGATACAGAAAGCTCGTCATTAGGTCATTATGTCGAACTCCCTGTGTCGCCTCTTATCGAATCTCCAAAACCAAGTAAAAATCTATTACAACAAAGTACTGTAGCAGAAGTAGAAGCTGCACCGTCGTCCGTAGAATCTGAATCTACTGCCGAAAATAAGGGGTATGAGCCCGACGATACAACGACATGTTCTAATACTGCACCTGGTAAAAGGAAACGTCACAAAAAGCGCAAAGCTCGTGGATTAAGTGATGATACGATATATCCTAAGCAGAGTAGTACAGAAGATGATACGCTAGCTTCTACGTCAATTGGAACAGATGAGGATACAAAGAAAATTAAAGATGCTGATAAAAAAGAAAAGAAAGACGTCATTGAATCTAATGCGATAAGTACAGATATTGAACCCACAATAAATCCTGTAGTGGGTGAAATAGTTCTTAGTGAAACTATTTCAACTTCGCCTAAAGAAGAGTCATGTCAGACAATCAGCGAAGCTTCGGACTTGAGCACTGTAAAAATAGTGGAAGAGTGCGTCGGTAGCAGCCCAGAAATGGTGCAGACCGAAATACCTACAACTGTAACATATCCTATACGAGTAGTTGAAGAAGTCTTAACACAAGAATATTCTGTGCAAACATCGCCTGACATGATAAATGATTCAGCGATACCCGAAATAGAAAGTAAAATCGAACCTTTTACAGTAAAAACAACTGATAGTGAGCTACAAACATCTCCTACTTCTGTTGGTAACAGTTATGTACAGACAATGCCAAAAGAAGATAAAGAAGCCCATACTCAAACTGTCGCAGATAACGTTCTACCAGATAAAGTAGAAGTGCAAGATTCGCAGATTCAAACGAGTGGACTAAACTCACCAGACGACGTCTTGCAGGCAGAAGCTGTAACCCAAGTTGTTCCACGTGATATTAACTATTTTGAAGAGAAATTTTCTCAAACGTCTTCACCCATCACTGAATTAAGAAAAGAAGCAGAACCATTAGTAGAATTAGAATGTCGTGAAATACAAACTTCACCAACGCCACAAATTCAACAAGATGAAAAAAGTACTGAAATTATTATCGACACTGCAGACTCTAATATCCAAACTATTAAGCAAGAAAATATCGATAAAGAAACATCCACTTCTCCTATAAGAGTAAAAGATTCTACAGAAATTAGTGTTCAAACGCCACATGTTTCTTATGTTAATGTATTTACTCAGTCTGAAGAAGATATATCCAAAATTGATTCCAAACAAAAATCAAACGAGGAAATGCCTCATACATCAGAGTATGATTCCGAGAAAGACGAAAAAATTCTCATTGATAACTCACAACAAACAACTCCTAGATCAGTGGATTCAGTTGGCCTTAAAATTGACAACACACAACAGACTTCTCCAAGGCTTACACGTACGTCTTCACAGTCACAAAATGCAGAAATAGAAAGCGTTTCTACTGATAAGATTCAGCAAACTACACCTAGATCTTGTTCTGAAAATACTATTATAGATATAAAGAGAGAATTAAAAACTGTAGACAGTATGCTTCAGACATCTCCACTTGCATATTCTGATGATTCAATATCAACTTCTACAGATGATCCTTACGAAATTCACCTTAGAGCACAAATTTCTATCCCTCAAGTAACAGATGATTTTATTAACATTGAACGTCAAATTCAAGAATCTGCTCAATCCATTATAGGTGATAAATCAAAACAAAAGAAAAGACGTTCCAAAAAGAAAGCAGAATCGCCTTTACAATCACCTGGTAGTCTTTCAGATCCTATTAATGCTGAACTTTCTCTATCAGTAACCCCAACAAGTGAAGATATATCTAGTAGACAAACCGATTCTGTAGATAAAGGAATATCTCATATTGCAAGTCAGACCTTACCAACTATACATCAATTAGCTACACAGCCTAAACTCACGTATTCTGATGTCGTACAAAGATCCAAATCTAAATCTCCTTCACCTAGTAAAAGTGTTCTTCCGTCACGAAAATCTGAAAAAGCTAGACTTATTGATTCTGTTGAAAAACGCACACAATCTATAGCTGAACCTCAGAAAAACATAGGAGAAACAATGGCCGTATCCTTAATTGAGCCATCAATGGAAAAATCTTATGCACTTGTAGTTGATAAAGAATTAAATAAACTGAGGCAATCAGTGGAACTCAATGATACAAATAAGTTGGAAAAAAGCGTTATTATTGTGATTGAAACCATTTCAATTTGGTTAGAAGAAATACAACACAAAATACAGATAGAAACTGTTACTGGAACTAAAGTAACTGACAAATCTGAACGTTTGACAGACCTACTAAACTATATCCGCGATCTCAAACAAATAATTTATGTTACTGAAGTAAATGAAGAAATAATAACTTTAATTGAGACTTTAACGCGACAAGTGGACGCGGTCAATAATTTAAGTAATCAAAGTTCGGTAAAAGTCAAAGAAATAGAGAAAGAATGGAACAAATTTTTAGACGACACTGAAATTTTAAGCCTATCAATTGAAAAAGTAAAATCGCGTCTCGATAAAATAATTGTATTAGAGTTATCAGCGCAACAAAAACTTGATGAACTCGATGAAATTGAAACAGAAAACATCGACAACACAGATATTGTTAGAAAAATGTTCCGAAGATTCCGAAGTATCGTAGAAGCAAATCCTAAAAGAGAATGTCCTACAAAATTATATACTTGTGACGAAAACACCAAACAAATTGAAAACTCTGTCAACACTGAAAGAGACCGTCTAATGCAACTATTGTCATTAGCCGAGGAATATGAACAAACATTACAAGATTTTGGTCAAATAACAGATGTAGCAGAAGCATTGTTAGACGGAAAAATTATTGTATCTGACTTAGACCACCTCCATGAAGAAATCCAAAAGCACAGAAAATTCTTTGTAAACTTGAGTCATTGCAGAGCCATTCTTGAATCTTTAGAAGACAATTTAGATAGTGAAACTAGAGCTAAATTTTCATCGCTTCACAATTCTCTCCACGATAGAGCTACTAAAATAATAGACAGAGCTGCAGGACGTGCTCAACAAATGACTTTAGCGGCTTCTAGATGGAGTATTTTAGATAATGGCATGAAAGAAGAACAACAATGGCTCCGAGTAGCTCATCAAAGAATTCCTGACCTTACAAACGTAACATCTATGGATCATGAGCAGTATATTAACCTCTATCAGTCCATTAGCTTAGATGTGTCACACCATTATGCAAAAATATTGCGTCTACTATCTATAGCCGAAAGCTTACAACACCTTATTACTTGCTCTGGGCTAGAGTCTGTGTGCTCTATAGCGCTCGATACTTTGTTGACTCTCCAAGATGATGTCGATTCAAGGTTAACAAGATTAAGAGCCTTTAAAGAAAATTGGGTAACATATGAACATCTTATTGACAGGGTAGAAAATTGGATGAAGCTGGCAAACAGAGAATTGGAAAATATAACGCCAGAAAATATAACAACTACACCAAACTTACGACGATTTTGGGAACTAAAAGCTCAGCATGAAGTACACCACAATCTCAAAAATGAATCTGGAATTCAGTTTGAGAAAGCGCTAGAAATATTACCAATATCTGATGAAATGGTTCAGCGTCAATTCTTTTTGAAGATAGAAGATAAATGGCAAAACTTGGCGGCAAGGATTGACGATTTGCATACTACAGCTATACAGAATATTTCAGATCGTGATGTGTCTTCCGGTGAAAAACTACACATTTTAGAAGAAGAATTAAGAGAATTGAGAGCCTCATTAGACGGCCTCAAAGGTGTTATTAAAAGCGAAGATGAACTTAATTTGTACATAGAAAGATTACAAGTAATGACTGGTCGCATAGATAGAATACAAAATGAACTTGGAAGATTAAGCTTACTGCCTACAGCAGAATCAGACCGCTTAGGTGCACTTTTAAGTCAATCGGGAATATTAAATGATCAAATAGCGGAAGAACTAGAGAGAAGTTTAATTTTGAAGGAGAAAATTATGCAAGTGCAGGCTGGCATCGTTCGATGTCAGAAGAATCAGCGCCGTGCTCGATTAACCTTAGAGGAATGCGAGTCAGCCGAAAGACTTGGGAGTGACGTTGTAGAACGGGCATCTGAGACCTGTCAAAGATTGTTAGAGGATCTGGCAACGCAGTGGCAGGATATTTTAACTCTACGACAAGCGCTTCACACTCTTCCGATAAGTCTTCGAGTGTGTGTATCACCTACAGGTGTGGAGAGGGATATCTCAGCTTTACAAGTGAGTGTTTTGTTGTCTTATATTTTAGTGCTTCTCTCGTTAAACAGTCTGCAATTATTTGATTATTTGTTGTGTAAGTGATTATATTACTTTTTTTTTTCGTAAAAATACTTTCTGTCTCGCAGGAAACTCATGCCGAAATCGAAGCAGCTTGCAATGATCTATGCGCTCGACTCCGTGCTAAGCTTCAGCTTTGGAAAAGATACGAAAGACAGCTAGAACTAGTTCAAGGTGCTGTCAGAGAAGCCGACTACATGGTAGAGCTGCTGACCGTCCAAGGCCAAGTTGACTACGATCGTTTGCTGAAGGCTACAGAAAAGCTTGAGGTTGGTCCACAAAATACATGCTTTTTTATTTAATTATTGACATTAAGAAACAAACTATTCATTTCATTTAATTTCTATTTTACAACATTTAATACTAGGAATTTCTCTTGTATTATAAAAGTGATTGTATGTATTTAACATAGGTATGAACGATATAATCATATTTTTTTTTCTATCGTTTGTTTTTTTCTTCCTCTTTCTTTCTTTATTTCTTTCTCCTTGCGGGAATAAAAACCGCGGTCTGAAGCACATGTGCAACCAAACGCTAAACAACTGCGTATAATATAGTTTATGTACCTTTTAAGATAAGGAAGTCCACGCATGCAGGTGGGTGAGGAGCGTGAGTTGTTTCATTCCTTGGGAGAGGCCTATGTTCAGCAGTGAAGTTGTGAAGGGCTGTAATGATGACGTATTGCTTTGGATGTTAGACGCTGAGCGAGTCCCTTTCGAGGAGGAGCGGAGAGCTGGTGGGCGAGCTGCGAGAGGCCGCGGCGCCGCTGGCGGCCGGTGCCGAGCCCGCCGTGGCCGCGCAGCTGCGCAGGGAACTCGACGACGCAGCCGCCGCCTACCAACACACCTGTACCAACTTGACACAAATGTGCGACAAGTAAGTCACGAACTACTCATACTTACAACTTCATTGATAGAATCATGCGTTACTTTGCGGAAATCTGATAAGAACATTATAAAAATTAATTAGCTTAAATTCGTATAATATAATAAAATGATGTGTCTTGTCTAGTTTGAAGAGCAAACTAGCAAAAAGTCTACCAGCATAAGCAAAGACGAAGAAAGCAACAAGCAAAAGACGCATCATTTTATTATATTACACGGATCTTAGCTGAAAAAATTTCACATCTTTAATATATTTTTTTATATAAGAGCGGACAAACTAGCATGCGGTTCACGAGATGGTGAGTGACTGTCGACGCCCATGGGGAATTACAGATGCGTTGTCGGCCTTTAATAGTAGAATTTGATCATTGAAGATCAACGACGTATGGATAGAATCATGTTGTGGCAATATTACACTTGTCGCGCGAATAGGTAAACTTGACTGTGAAAGGATCACGTTCTTATAGAAACTGTAGCAGCGTAAGATAGCAACATTAATGCTGCCTTATTTCGTATAGTGAGGGTACAGAATCGGAGATTCCCTTTGCTGGATAAGGAATTCCATCTTAGTCCTTAGGGGTGATAACGCATTTGCAGTTTGACTCTTAATCGAGGATTGATGTAGATGTTCATAAGTCGCAGTATCCTCTTACTACCGGTGTTCTGTGTGGTCATCCTTACTTCCTTTGTTATCCTTATTCTATGAAAATAATACGATGAGGCACGAATCTAGAGAAAAGGTCATGGGTGATGTGACAAAACCCTTTTCCTTAAAAAGAATTAAATATATTTTTAAGGTATAATTTTGCTCCTAACTTATGTGTAGTCTATATGTTACGGCTAAAAGTCTAAATGCGGTTACACGTAGTTCTAGTCGTCTAAAATTAGGTGCGGTCAGCGGTAGTTGGTTAAACTGACGGCTCCGTGGCGCAGTGGCTTAGCAATCAGTTGTTGCGCTGGGGGCCGCGGGTTCGAATCCCGCACGGAACAAGTATTTGTATGGCCTACAAATAATTGTTCCGGGTCTGGATGTTTGTCCTTGTGCAATTTATGTTTATAAACTGCCTCCACGACACAGGAGAAAATCCTAGAAAATTTGTAGAAATACGGAAAAACGTGTCAAGTAATATCAGCGACAGTTGGTTAATAGGGCCACATTAAAACCGCAGACATTTATCTAATTTATAAATTCCTCAACCGACCACACCATGTATTAGCTGGCTACACCTAGGTGTATGCGCACTTGGGCTTTTAGCCGTAACCTTTTAACGGTGGTAGAGCCACGCGGCAGCTTTTGCTTTCGTACGTATGGGCCGGCTCGAGCCGGGTTGGTACCACGACCTCACAGAATACCGGTGTAAAATGGAAGCTCTGCTTCTGCGTTTCGTTTTCAAAAACTACCCCAGGAGGGTACCAGCACCTCTAGAAAAACCCTCACTGAGTATCCACGACCATGCTACTCCACTCCTGATAGTGGTTGCTCGGGCTGCCCGGTGTGTTCTGGGGGGGGGGGGGGGGGGGGATTCCGAGAGACTACCATCTCGAGTCGGCGAAGCCGGCCTTTGCTCTTTCGAGACGCAGGTGTCCTCTCCGGCTGATACTTCATATCTCTCCTACCCGGGGTACAAATTGGAACACTCCTTTGTGCCTCGGGCTGGAGTTTACGTATTCGTCTGAAAGGACATCTGTTATCGACGCCTCGGCAGTCTTGAAGGTTGGGACCTGTCCATCCTTTGGCTACGCGTAGACAGCGACGACCATCCGCCCGTCTACGGGTGCCTCTATAGGTCCCATAGCGGTAATGCCGAAACAGACCAACTCATTGACCACGTCCAAAATTGCTGCAGATTTCTTGCTATCCCATCCGCAGAGATCATGATCCTTGGCGATTTAAACGCCCACCACACCGAATGGCTCGGTTCACGTTTAACCGATCATGCGGAAAGATCTGTTTATGACTAGCCTTGGCATATGGTCTGACACAACTGGTTACTTCGCCTACCCGGATTCCAGATGCGGAGGAGCATACACCTTCCCTGCTGACTTCTCATCCGGGCGGATATCAGGTTTCCGTCGATGCCCCTCTCGGCTCTTCGGACCATTGTCTGATCCGGAGTGTTTTGCCACTCACGCTCCCCTCGCGGTTGCGTTCTGCACGTTGCCGCCGTGTTTGGCTTTACAGGTCAACGGATTGGGATGGAATGCGGTCTTGCTTTGCATCCTACCCATGGGGGGTGGGTTTGCTTCTCGCCCGATGATCCCAGCGCTGTTGCTGACTCTGTCACTGATGTGGTTGCTACAGGGAATGGAACTATTTATTCCATCATCTGTGGTACCCATCGGAAGCAGATCTCAGCCTTGGTTTCGTCGCTCCTGTAAGACGACATTACGCAGTAAGAAGGAGTATTATCAGGCCTGGGCTGAGGCTTCGGCGGCTCGGGATGTAAACACCAGAGTACTTAAAATGACGTATAACTTCGCCTCCAGGTCCTTCATAAGAGTTATTGCCAAGACAAAGTCAGAGTACATAAGCAGAATTAGCGTGAAACTAGGTCGCCTTCCTTCGGGAACCCGTGCATTCTGGTCTCTCGCCAAGGCTGTCCAAGGGAATTTCTGTAAGCTATCACTACCATCTCTGCTCAGGGAGGACGACTCACTGGCTCACGCCGCAAAAGAGAAAGCCGACCTTTTAGGCTCCCTTTTTGCGTCCAACTCGACTCTTAATGACGGGGGGAACACACCGCCAACCAACCCGCGGTGTGAGTGCTCCATGCCGGATGTGCGGTTCTCACAGCGCTCGGTTCATAAAGCACTCCTCTCCCTGGACATCCACAAGTCATATGGGCCTGACAGAATCCCCGCAATTGTGCTGAGGACGTGTGCTCCAGAGTTGGCACCGGTTCTGACGCGTCTTTTCCGGTATTCCTACTCCCTAGACGTAGTCCCGAAATCATGGAAGACAGCTTTATTTCCCCCGATCCCTAAAAAGGCTCCGCTTAGACCCGTCCAACTACAGGCCTATCGCCATCACCTCCTTGTTCTCCAATAAATAATGGAATCCATTATAAACTGTCAGCTCATGCGGTACCTGAAGGATCACCAGCTGATTAGTGACTGCCAATACTGTTTTCGTCGGGGTCGATCGGGTGGTGGTCTTCTGGTGTACCTGACTCAGATGGGTGGAAGCAGTAGAGTCCAAGGGGAAGGGATTTTTTAATAAAAATACTAGAAATGCTATTAAACATTACTAATATTCCCTTTAACCACTTCTGGTAAGCTTAAAATGCTTGTGTTAGAAGTGATTCACGACAGTAGTCGAATGGCGGATTCGAATCCACGACCTTTCGAGTTCGCGGTCCGCGCTCTGCCATTAAGCTACTGACGCTTACTACTGAGGCATTGGCCGTTAGTTTGGACTTTGCGACGGCCTTTGATCGGGTCTGACACAAAGCGCTTCTTTCGAAGCTCCCTTCCTATGGACTTCCCGAAAAATTGTGCAATTGGATCACCAGCTTTCTTGCAGATCGAAGCATCGAGGTCGTTGTAGACGGTGCATGATTCGACTACAAGCCTATTAACGCTGGTGTTCCACAACGCTGCGTGCTATCGTGCATAACCAATGCTGTCTCTTCTGCATATCAATGATGTGTTGCAAACCGGTAACATTCATTGCTATGCGGATTGACACCATTGGTGATACTCTGTACACCGGCCGTGCCAATATTTCTCGGGAAAACGTCGCCGTGTACCGGAACAAACTTGTGTATGAAGTCGAGTCTTTGCTGAACAAAGTCTCGGATTGGTGGCGACTAAATCTAGTCCAGTTTAATCCTCAGAAGACACAAGTTTGCGCGTTTACCGCTAAAAAGAACCCCCTTTTTGGATCTCTTTAGTTTCAAGGCATTCCCCTTGTTGTCTCAGCCAGTATCGGAATCATCGGCGTCGACATATCGAGTGACGTGAAGTTTTGTGGTTACTTTATTCCGGCACAATGCTTGCAACTTTACAAGCATTGTGCCTCACATGGAAAACAGTTCCCGTCTCTGGGCTAGAGCTCCTCAGTGCCAGCTCCTTCTTCTTGACCGCATCTAGCGCAGAGCACTCGAATCGTCGACGACCGAGTCGAAGAGATGTTGCATCCTTTGCATTTTCTTTCGTATATACCACGGAGAGTGTTGTGTGGAAATGTTGTTTCGGATTAATCCTAGCCGCCAAATTTCACGAACGCACGTCGCAGTAGAATTCCCGATACCATCCACACCATCTAGATGATTGGCGGTCCACCACTGTGCCATTTAGAAGATGTTTCCTTCCTCGCACATCTTCCTTGCTGAATCGATTACCATCAGCGATTTTTCCGGACCGATACGACTTAGGGACATGCAAGAAAAGAGCCTACTTGTTTGTAAAAGGCCGACAACGCATCTGCAATTCCCTCCCTGGTGTTGCATTTGTTCATGGGCGGCGGTAGTCACTTACCATCAGGTGAGCTGCATGATCGTTTGCCTTTTGCTATAGTGATTATGTGGGTGTTGGTGCGCAGGTACCAGCGCGCGGTGGAGCTGTGGCGGCGCTACCGCGAGGCGGCGGGCGCGCTGCGCGCCTTCGCGCTCGCGCAGGAGGCGCGCCTGCACGCGCTGCGCCCCGCACACGCGCCCGCACTCGCTCGCGTGAGTACACAGCCTTATGTTTGTGTTCGCCTGTAGCTGCGGCGGCGCTACCGCGAGGCGGCGGGCGCGCTGCGCGCCTTCGCGCTCGCGCAGGAGGCGCGCCTGCACGCGCTGCGCCCCGCACACGCGCCCGCACTCGCTCGCGTGAGTACACAGCCTTATGTTTGTGTTCGCCTGTAGCTGCGGCGGCGCTACCGCGAGGCGGCGGGCGCGCTGCGCGCCTTCGCGCTCGCGCAGGAGGCGCGCCTGCACGCGCTGCGCCCCGCACACGCGCCCGCACTCGCTCGCGTGAGTACACAGCCTTATGTTTGTGTTCGCCTGTAGCTGCGGCGGCGCTACCGCGAGGCGGCGGGCGCGCTGCGCGCCTTCGCGCTCGCGCAGGAGGCGCGCCTGCACGCGCTGCGCCCCGCACACGCGCCCGCACTCGCTCGCGTGAGTACACAGCCTTATGTTTGTGTTCGCCTGTAGCTGCGGCGGCGCTACCGCGAGGCGGCGGGCGCGCTGCGCGCCTTCGCGCTCGCGCAGGAGGCGCGCCTGCACGCGCTGCGCCCCGCACACGCGCCCGCACTCGCTCGCGTGAGTACACAGCCTTATGTTTGTGTTCGCCTGTAGCTGCGGCGGCGCTACCGCGAGGCGGCGGGCGCGCTGCGCGCCTTCGCGCTCGCGCAGGAGGCGCGCCTGCACGCGCTGCGCCCCGCACACGCGCCCGCACTCGCTCGCGTGAGTACACAGCCTTATGTTTGTGTTCGCCTGTAGCTGCGGCGGCGCTACCGCGAGGCGGCGGGCGCGCTGCGCGCCTTCGCGCTCGCGCAGGAGGCGCGCCTGCACGCGCTGCGCCCCGCACACGCGCCCGCACTCGCTCGCGTGAGTACACAGCCTTATGTTTGTGTTCGCCTGTAGCTGCGGCGGCGCTACCGCGAGGCGGCGGGCGCGCTGCGCGCCTTCGCGCTCGCGCAGGAGGCGCGCCTGCACGCGCTGCGCCCCGCACACGCGCCCGCACTCGCTCGCGTGAGTACACAGCCTTATGTTTGTGTTCGCCTGTAGCTGCGGCGGCGCTACCGCGAGGCGGCGGGCGCGCTGCGCGCCTTCGCGCTCGCGCAGGAGGCGCGCCTGCACGCGCTGCGCCCCGCACACGCGCCCGCACTCGCTCGCGTGAGTACACAGCCTTATGATTGCATTCGCCTGTAACTACTGCCTACGTGTCGCATCTTGATCACATCGGTGCTCTGCGCGGTGCGGCTGCACCATGGACGTGCGTGGACTGAGATATTTGCGGCGGCGCCACAAATTACTTATGTCGTCTAACCAAACAATTAGACCATAAAGCGCTCGATCGCTTATAGAGTTATAGTTCCCAAATCATCCTAAGCGCCAGGAACTTAATGGCACTTCTAATCTAATCTCGTGTTTATTGTTTGTTTTTGTTTTTTTTTTTCTTTATTTACAGTTACAATTTATTTAAAATTTATTAAAATATTTATTACCACTGCTCGAACTATCCGAAAGAGATGAAACTAACCATACTAAAACAACAAACAACAACAGCGATTGTGATTCGCCACTCCAAATGCTAAATCCAATCTCATTTCGTCACGTTCAGCAACGTTTAATACTTTACCATTAATATCGTTCAAAATGAGAAAATATTATTGACAATATGGCGTTGAGCTGATGCGACGAAATAAATATTTTCTTTATTTCGTTCAAAACTTCTATGTATGCGATTAGACGAGCTCTGCGGCTTTAAGGCGACACAACGAATACCGTTGAAGCGGGCTATCGCCGGACTGACCCGAGTGAAACATAACCTTAAAAACGCGATAATAAGGTCTAAAATTGCGTAGCGCCCGCGACGATTAAGACCGCTTAGAAATCGCTTAGAATCTTAAATATTTTTAAAAAATTATTAATTTTAGTAATCAAGGGAATGTGCAAGTAAATTACGAATATTGATGTTATGAATGTATTTGAGTGGTTCCCAAGTATATGGATTAAATAATTTCGTTGTAATTTTAACTTTAGTGATTTTTAGAGGTGTTTTCGCAAATAATTATGATCGAGTCAAAATTTTACAATCGTGTTTTTGAACAAGCAAATTCAATATAAAGACATGAATATACCTATATCAAAATTCCAGTTCCATTGTCGTGTCATACTCCTATACTATTCGATGAAAGGAGGGGCATTTTTTCGCGGTGTCGCCTTAATACATTGCGCACCAAGTTACGATCAACTCCGTCCTTTGAAGTTGGTTGCAGGTGTTCATGAGTTGCAATAGCCACTTGGTATAAGATGGACTATGGAAGTTCGTTTTACAATTCTATTATTTTTCCTATATTCTTATTTCCAATAAGCTTCCATTTCATTCGTCTGGTACGTGTTATATGTAAAAGGGTCCATAAAATAGAATACCATAGAAATGAACGGACTATTTTAAAAGAAACTTGGGAATCAGTCAGCTTAATCCAAAAATCAAGTTTCAATTCTTATTTGGGCTCAAGGTACCATGAAAGTGGACCTGTAAATAGATAACGTTAACTTAAAGTATTTAAGGACTTAAAAGTAAATTAAATTTTCCTCTTAAATTTCTTTGTTCTCATCTTATTCACAAACAAATGAGTGATAGTTTAACACTAAATAGCGTTAGTCAATCCCACTCCATATTAGTGTTTATATTTTTTAAACATTAAAATCATCAAAGTTAAAAATATATAAAGACTATTTTTTATTTCTTTTAAATGCCCAAAATTAGATTATTTATAATTAGTGACTGGAATCATAGCGCCATCTAGCGACGAGGCAGGGAATTTAATTCATATTAAGTCGCTGACACTGTGTGCAAACTAAAAGCGCATTGCGAAGTGAATTTTAACCAAATAAAAAATACAATGAGTCATATGAAAACAGAAAACAGTGGCCGCTCCTTGGCCGAGGTGCGCCGGTCATCGGCCTTACTTAACGCAGTGTTCGCAGAATCTAAACGATATGTAAGCACGGAAAAGTGGCAAAATCTTTGAATTTACTTAAAATTAACATCGAATAGTACATATACCGAGAGAAGCCTTGCCTTAAAGACACAAATGGCCAAACACTCAAATGCTACTCAATTTTAAGATGTCGTGGTGTCACAGTCATTTTGGCTTAAAGTGATAGAGACAGCACGAGACTTAACGACTTCTTAAAATTGAGTAGCCATTGAGTATTTAGACATAATAAGACTGTATCGGACGGAAGACAAGACTTCCTTTCTTTCTTCCACCGTTTAGTTAAAATGCATGGAATATCAACTACCAAGGTGTGAAGGCCCACCGACCGCCTGGTTGTCCGATGCTGTAAAGTGGAGGGAGAACTTAAGGCATGTAATTCCTTCTCTTATTGTTCGTTTGTGACATCCGCGGGATGAGATGGAGTGGTGGCAGAGTGGCTTATCTCTTCATTCGTAGCACGAAACACACTCACAGAATAATACGCTCATAAATAATAGTTAAAAGTTAAAGTTATGGCCTATATACGTCCCACTGCAGGGCACAGGCCTGCTCTCATTTCTGAGAGGGTTTTAGGGCAAGGAAATGTCCACCGCGCTGCCCCAATGCATGTTGGCAAACTTCACGTATTCGAAATTTTTTTTTCTTATTTCTCAGATATGCAGGTTTCCTCACGATGTTTTCCTTCACCGCCGAGCATGTGGTAAATCAGCACTTAATATTGCAATTAGCAATTTCACTGGTGCCGGCGGGGATCGAACCAGTGTTGCTCGCGTACTACGAAACTTACAGCGAGCGCTAACTATCTGAGCTACCACGGCTCTTTTGTACATAAATAAGCACATAGTAACTGAAAATTTTATCTTTTGTAGTTTTCACTATGATATTAGTACCTCTTACGGAATAGTTATCATTATATGGTAGTTAATTTGTGTCAATGAAAAAATTTAATTACACTTAACTAACAGCAATTGCTCGTAATATTTATTTGAATAAACTCATAATTACTGAGTTATCTGGTTCCAAGTTACAACGATATAGCACATATTATTTATAATCTACTTTGCCTTGAAAGTTTATCGCTAGTCTGTGGGGAAAAGATAAAGCGCGGGAAACGGGAATCTATGGGCAACATTTGTGTTAAATATTGAATTAATTATTAAACTCTACTGTGTTAAAGTGTTAAAAGTTCTTAAGCAAAAGAAAATACCAGTAAGAGGGTTGGTGTGTGAGTGTATTATCAATATTTTAAATTATATCCCACTATTAGTGGCAATTGTCGTTTGGCAGACGGATTGCGGACGTACAATACGGCCGACGTATCTTGGCGAGTCTGAATATAGGCTCTGCGAAGTTTAGCGCATGAACACTCGTGAAGAAAACTGTTATTGTCATTTTTTTATATATACCAATGTACAAATAAAATTTCCCTAATACAGTGACCAAAAATATCAAAACACTTTGGAGACATTATAAATTAAAGATTCAATTTTGATACCTCACCTTTCGATAGGGGCAGATTTTATCACAAACACATACAATATTATTTACATTTAATACTTTTTATTTATTTACACTTATTATTATTTAATCACTGTCGCTGAGGGGGGAAATTCCTAACATAAAGTCGTCGGCCCCTTGTGTACCATGTGAGGTACTTGGCATAGGTTCATCTTCGTAATCGTCGCTCTCACTTTCAGACTCACTTTCTGAATCTGAAGCTGTATTAATGATGAATAATTGATCCGTCATTTCGTCAATAATATGGTCGCTCTTCCTATAGTCATGTTCGACCTCTTGCACTTTTCTGCATAAAGCACTCCATTCATTCTGACCCATTAAATTTACTTTTTCTTGTATGAGCTCCATTGTCCGGGTTACGTTCCAGTCGACGTTTTTAGCGGCTACGTGCCCTTTAATGGCAGCCCACACCATCTCGATGGGGTTTAAATCGGGATGATATGGGGGTAAACGAAGGACATCGTGGTTGTTTTGTTTAAACATTTCATCTATTAC